TTACTATATATCATGTGAAGTGCTTTTGAGCCATCCTCTTAATATCATTTTCTAGAGAGATGTGTCGGATTGAGTTAAACCAACACCTCCCACATTATATCAATTCTTTTATCATGACTTGCATTACATTGTGCTGATAGGCAGCCCCGAGTTATATAGCCTCCCCTTCTTGTTCTATTCTGGTTTTGCTACCTTTGTACAACAATTCATGGAATGAATTTTCTTCTACTCGATTTACATCACTGCAGCTCTCTGCCAGGAGCTTACAAATCAGAACCAAACTGTCAATTAACACTGATGATCCCTGAGTATTAACCCTGACTATTTGTATTACATCTCGAGGATGTTCGCATTCGACGGACTACTGATTGGTACAGGTTAGACGGCTCCTAGAATCCTCCTCCTTGCTTTCAGGCACCTTCTAAAAAAACTTACCTCTTCCTCCATCCTTTCGGCCACTTTCCTCCTACCTTCTAATTCGTTCGGGCACCAACACATTCCTGCAAATCATTCTACTTGTGATGATGTTCCACATTGAAAGAGCTATATAAGTGTGTCAGCCTGGCTCAGTGGTAGAACTCTCGCCTCTGAGTCAGAAGGTTGTGGGTTTAATGCTCCAATACAGTCCTGGAGGATGGTTTGGCCTTGCTGGAGGTGACGTCCTTCGGATGAGATGTTAAACCGAGGTCCCATTTGTCTGTTTAGGTGGACCTTAAAGATCCCATGGCACTAATCAAAAAAGAAGGGAGTTTTTCTCTCCCTGTGTCCTGGACATCAATCCCCCAAATAAAATTGGTCGTTCACTCCACGGCTGTTTCTGGGACATTGTTGTGTGCACAACTGGCTGCTGCATTTCGCCCACAAAATGCAGTCAAACTACTTTATAGTACGTCCCTTGAAGCTCCTCGAGATGTCTTCACGACGTGAATGCAAGGATTATTATTTATCGATGTACCAACTCTTTCAGTTCTATATCATAATTGAGGACTATGCATATTCCCGATATTGTGTCCATTAATTCAACGCAGTTGGGAAATTACCAGGAAGTCAAAACATCCAGTAATTAGATCAGTTAAACAGTACATTGTCAAGGCATAAAACATACACTGTCTGTGTATGTTTCTTTACATAGAACCTTAATGCACGGAAAACAGGCCATTTGGCCCAATTGGTTTATGCTCCACTTGTAGCCCCCGTCCCAAACATCAGTGAAGAAATGAGTATCTCCTCGGAGAATCTCTTTTAAGTCCAATCTCTTTGCCCCGTTCTCCAAACTCATCGGAAAGTTAGCAATCGGTAAAGCCCAAATTGAGTGCACAATAAACAACTTGCTTTGATCCAAAATGGTTGCTTGTTGCCTAGTTACATTACATATTGGTAAATGTCTTGTTCCCCTTCGTTATCCTTGGCTCGTACATGTGTCCACTGCCCCCACCTGGGCAGAACCAGGCACCACATTAAATTGCCAGACATTGATTGACGGGGATTCATTGCTCTTTGGTGTCTTTCGTCAGAAACGGAAAAAAAACCCGAAACCTAAAATAAAACATGAAAGGCCGGAAATCGACAGCAAATCAATAGGAAAAAAGGTCAGTATTGAAGAGTGACCTTTTATGATCAGTTACGCCAAATGTTATACTTTAGTTCAATCGACAGTATAATAATAATAATAATCCTTGCATTTGGTAGAGCGCCTTATTGTGTCTTCGAGACGTCTCAAAGAAATATTAAAATATGTGTTTAAATAAAGGTGCATTTTGACTGTCATTAAATACCATGTCCTCAATATGACTTCTGTGATTTTACGGCGTTAGGTAGTCTAAAGAATTAAAGTGCGTTTAACAATAGAACGCCTTTTATTTAATGTTGTTGCTAAAATGAACAAAACGACTCTTGGCTTTCAGGTTGCGGAGCAGTCAGTCCACAGGGGTTCAGATCAGTTCATGGCTTCATGAACGGCAAAATCCCTCGTGCTTTTTAGGATGTTCTGAATGGATATGTTCTCAGTGGAATTAAGATCAGAGTTGGTAAACATCATGTTGCAATTAAAGTGCTTCTTGATTTCAGAACTTTGCGAAGAGATAATAATATTTAAGCGTTCTGGGACTCTACCCTCGCGCTATATAAATGCAATTTGTAATATTGTGACAGTTATTATGGTATGATCATTTTTAGTGAATCTAAAGAGAATTTAATGTAATAAACCTTACATAACGGATTTTCTTTGAGAAGTATAATAATATGTGTATAATAATAATCCTCGCACTTGATATAGCTCCGTCTTCGAGACGTCTCAAAGCGCTTCACAGAATATCCTGTAAAGTGAATTGACTGTATGGTTTGTACCACAGATTCCAGTTAGATTCCAGCAATGAAGTATGGCAAAAGATAATGTTTACTGCATTGTATTGTGGTGATTAAAACCGGGTGAATAACCTTTTCCCCTCACACAGACCCATTTTGGCCAGCCTCTGATGGAAATCAACACTATATTATTCAGGCAGCACCTGTACTTATTTCAAGACCATGTGCAGCAAAGGCTTGTTGGAGGTCAACTGGGATTAAATAAAGGGATTTTGTGGCTTAAGTTCAGTCACTGTGTTGTCATAACTACTGCATCTCTGAAACATCAGGGACAACAATAATCTACTCCATTCCTTTATGTGTTCAAATTAACCTTGAGCCAAATATCTATGTTCAGCCATTGCACATTAATATTTGAATTATTAATAAACAGTACAAGTGATTTCTGGATCTGAGATCGCTGTGAAAATACCGTATTGATGTATTAGTTGACCCAGTGATATATTTATATGTTTGCACTAATGCTTCAATAACGTGGACTGGAGGTAAGAAAAATATTTGGATCTTTGCATCTCGGAATTTAGTTCTTGTAGATAGCTGTTAGTTTATGTAAATATAATTCCATCGGAGCCAGGCAAAGGTGGGTCTGTGTGAGGGGAAAATGCTCTTCACTAAGTTTTAATCAACAACAACTTGCATTTATATAGCATGCTTCAAGTGGGGTAGAATCCCAGAGCGCTTGACAGTGGGGGGGAATCTGACCCCGAGTCAGGGAGAGAGGTAGGGAGGAGGTAATAATAATAACCCTTGCATTTAGTACAGCGCCTTTCACGCCCATGTAAAATTGCAGTGCCTGCGTGCTTTGTGGATATCTATGCGTCAGGATACACTTGTGTGTTGTATTGTTATCCCATCTATACTTGTGTTTCTCCTTGTAATTGCACTTTTTGCTTCAATGATACTTGAATTCACATAGTCTGAAAATCTCCGGTCAGTGATATGTGCCCGTCCGGTAGTATGGGGGCAGTTCAATCTATTCATACCCATCCAGGAGCAAAGGGTAGAATAGGTTTCACAATGTCCATGGAAGGAGCGAGCTTGAATGGGACTATCTTTTTAAAAAAAAATGCCTTATTCAGCGGCTTGGGACGTCCTCCCGATGTGAAAGGCGCTACTAAAATGTCGTTAGTTGTTATCATTGTTATTTTTATTGTAATTTCCATCCAGCTGATAAATCACACCAACACCATCTCCCCCCCCAACCCCCCCACCCCGTCTCTATTTCATTCAGAGTACAGTAATGCAGAACTCAAGCCATCAGTCGGTGATCTTCAGTTCAGTCAAGCAGGACCGTTTGGAGAGGGCACCTTCTATGACACACACACACACACACATACCATTCACCCTATAACATACCACGGGAAGACAGCAAATTGATTCGCATTACCGCTGGCATCACGCTTTGAGCATCTCTGTTGCCAGGTAACTAATTAACTAACTAACCAACCAACCAACTAACTAACTAACTAACTAACAGTAGCAAAGCCCATCTCCAACCAACCACTTACACTGTCCCCACGAAATTGATGATTGCAGAGTCTGTTCCTTAGTGATACCATCTCTCCAGCGTGTGTGATTGAGTTGGCTTCACACCTAATGCTAAATGCATTGCAGTGCAGTGCAGAGCGCAGCAGTTTGTGGACTGGAGCACTTCATCGATGAGATTAAACTACTGTACCGGTGCAGCCAACAAAAATAGGATTTGCTGTCATTCTGAGGCAGCCGAGCAAGTAAAGTCGAGTAAGTCTCGTTTGTATTTTAAGACGCTCTTAAACATTTTTTTTTAACCTGATTTCTTTTTTTCGGGGGTTGGCTAACGGTACGTTAAAAATTGTAATCGCCAGCAAACCCAAAAGGGCAATAAATCCCGGAAAAGTGTTCTGCGCATGTTTTTTTTGGGGGGGGTGGTGGGGGGGATTTTTCTAAGATTGCGCGAGAGAGAAAAAAAATCTAATTGTTTAAAAAATGTTCATTTGTTTTTTGAAAACATCTATTTCTTTTGGCAACTGTCGTCCCTTGTTGCTTTGGAAGCGATTGTTTAACGCTTTCTCAGTCTGCGGAGATAGTGAGTTAGCGATGTGCGATAACGTTTGACCAGACACAGGTTTCTAGTTAACCCACGGACCCACTTTTGGGTTGTAACTAAATTCTGTTGGTTTCAAGCGGACTCAGGAACTGGGCGAGTGAGGGTTAATTCGGACCCATCTCAAAGGACCTGAAATAGTTTTAAAAAAAACACACAAGAGAAGATGCTGTATTAGCAGGAAAGGATAGAGCTTGAAGATCTCTTTCAAGAGCCAAACGATTTGAATTCAAACATATAAAAAGTATTTAAAAATATCAAATGCGAGGATTATTATTATTATTATTATTCGAACAGGGTTAAGTGTTCAGTGTGAGACTGTTTGTGATCGAAGCCAGACTTGTCTGAATTCCTTCTCTCTCTCTCTCCCTCTCTCTCTTCCCCCCACCCCCGCCACCCCTTTCTCTCTGTGTCAGACCATCAGTGTACTTACTGTACAGTTATTTTCATCAGTTGGTTTCTCCCTCTCTCTCCCTTAATATTCTCATTTAAGGCTCGCCTCTCTGACTTAATTGCTGCCCCAGATTTCTCTGTGTGTAATCCCTTTAGATCTGATATTCTGATAGAGCTCGAAACAGGAGAGACTCGGAGAAGAAATCGCAAGAATCAGTTCTTCGTAAGAAACCTCTTTTTTTTTGTTCCAGACCCAAACTATTTAATTCCAATTGAACCCTATTATCCTGACACGCCGAGTCTATTTACCGCTAAAAACTATTTTATGGTGAGGAGAGGGAGAGCGAGGGAGAGAGGGAGGGAAGAGAGTTTAAACGAGCTGAAATCTCTGTTTCCTTTAAGAGAAATCCAGAGGATTTCTTTTCACAATTGTCATTTACATTTTCTGGAAATTTGTGACGTGAGATTTAGTTTTGCCATTTCAAGTTTTTGGCTTTTCTTTTGAATGAAAAAAAAATTCCTCTGTGGGGATTTTTGGACAGTTTTCCATCAGCACATTTTGTGTCACATGAAATATCTAAGGCACTTTTCCTCCTTTTATTTATACATTGTTTATTCCCAAATGATGTCCATTTGTTTCCCACCCCCCCCCCCCACCCCACCTCCAGCTCTCTCTCTCTCCCCCCCCCCCACCCGTTCCCCCTTTTTTTCAGGCTCAACCAGTGTTAAGCGTTCCGAGACCCGGAGTGAAGGGCGTTGTGTAAATGCAGGTTGTTATTCATGTTGTTTTCTGTTCTCCAGGACTGCTCCTTTTGAGAATCTTCAGAAATCATGGGACGTAAGGAAAAAGACAACTGTTGTTGGAAAAAGCAAACAGCCAATATCGAAGAGGTTTTCCAAGTCATGGAAGTCCTCGGATGGTAAGTATTATATGCAGTCCATAAAACCACTGTTACCAACATGTTATATGCTTTTGAGAGCGCACGAGAGAAGATTAATTCTTATTACTATCTCAGGATACAATGTATAGTTTGTGACATCTGCGTGACAAAGTGTTTCACAGAATATATGTTGTAAAGTGAATTGGTCGTATATATTTTTTGTGGGCGAAACGCGGCAGCCAGTTGCGCACAGCAGTGACCCACAAACAGTCGTCGAGATCGAGTATCTCGGAAGCTAAATTTCTTGAAAGAACTTCCTGGAAAAAAAGTCTGAAAATTAATTAAGGCTGTCATGAAGAAATCGTCGCATTGTGGGTGATCTGAAATGCTACATATCTGGAACCCAGATGGAATTTCTCCCCCGTTACTCTGGTTGAACGTGTTGAAATCTGTCTTCAGAGTAATTTATGACAGCTGACATTATAGTCACTCTCTACTTGGTTCTTATTTTGTGAGATTCCCTTCCACCCACCGCCTAAATTTTTTTTTTTTTACCTCTTTCAAACAAAATACACCTTTTTTGTTCATTGCATAAATAAAACACATTTGGACTTCCAGCTTTTAAAAAAAATTTGTATTGCGTGTAATATCTCTCCCCCACTCTGCCCGCTCCACTAGCGGTTGGTCGGGGTTTCAACCTTTCCACCCCCACCTCTGGAACTCCAGCCCTCCGCCTCACCCCCTCCCTTGCCTCCCATTCCCATCTCGAGACCGTGCCTTCGGTCATCTTCCCTCCCCCCCCCCCCCCACTCCACCCACTCCCCCCGAACCCTCTCTGCCCTCCACCCATCTCTGATCCTAACCCGCAGCTCTGGTAGAAAGCCCTCATTGTCCAGCTCTTTGGGACGTCCTAACGAAGTGAAACACGCTGCGGTGTAAATGCAATTGGTTGGTGTTGGAATTTTACATGTTTTTATGGCTGCTTACCTAGCGTTCCGAGACACTGCCCTGCGTGATAGGCGCTATATAAATGCAAATGTGTTGCAGGCTGTCTGGATGTTAAGCATCTCACCTGGGTCCTTCTGTGTCTCCCAGCCGTGCACATGGCCCTGCCTGCTGTCAGCTTTAATCGGCTCCGTTGGTTAGATTTGTTATATCGATGCTCTGCCCGCCCTGTGATGTAACATCACGACAAGGGTGAACTGAGGTTAAACCACATCGCTCAGGGTCCTCAATTTCTGCTGCATCAAATACGAAAGCCAGACTTAACCCCGTTCTGAATTCTATCACAATAATGCGGCTTAATATGTGATTATTATTAGCGCTGCACAGGAGAGCAATACCTTTCTGGCAGTTGATTCAGATTGGTCCTCAATAACAGCAACAACTTGCATTTATACAGCGCCCTTCACAAAGGGTAGTGTCTCGAAGTGCTTGGCAATGGCGGAGCCGGTGGTGGTGGGGGGGGGAATGGGGTGACCGTGATCTAAAAGAGGTAAAGGAGTGTGGTTTTGGGGGCATTAAATCAGAGGTGAGAGGCCGTTCATAAGAACGTAAGAATTTAGAAGACCAAGGTCCATCCAGTTCGCCTTCCACCCATCCTGGCAGTCGCTTGAATTCATTTTCTTGCGGAAACATCTCTTTTTGGTGCAAATCCTTCATTGTCTCCACCAGCCGATACCACAAACACTCTGCACAACTCGACGCCATAAGGAAGCTCCACTTGCACATATCCGGTTGATGGGGGCAAGGACATCACACATCTACAATCTAATCTCACTGTTCATCAGTTGGCTCTCAACCGTGGAAAATTACAGCACGGAACAAGGCCATTCGGGCCGTCGTGTCACTTTCTAGAGCATTTTTTGATTTAATCTGAAACCCTTCATCAGATAACTGTTCTTCGGTGTCAACACCAGCCCATACCATAACAAGCCACAATACTCCAGGCTCTGATGTTTGGATTTAACTCTATGAGTGACCGAATTTTTACACTGACTTCTTTTTATCTTGCAAAGTGAATGAGAGCCGTTTTGTTTTGAAGGTTATTTTTTGGGGGGGAGGTGGGTGTGTGGGGGAGTGGGTAAGAGAGAAACAAAATCTGAAAGTTGTCCTGACCGACAATTCCCCCAAATAAAATTGGTCATTCACTTTGTAGCTGTTTCCAGAACATCGCTGTGCGCAAATCAGCTGCCACATTCGTGCGCAAAATACACAGTCACTTCACTTTACAGTATGACCTGTGTCGCACTTTGAAATGTCGTCTTCATGTGAAAGGTGCTGCATCAAATGTAAGGATCGTTATATAATAATATAATCCTTGCATATGACATAGCACCTTATCACATCTTCGAGGTGTCTCAAAGCGCTTCACCGAATACACTGTCAGGTGAATGGACCGTATATTTTGTGGGCGAAATATCAAATAGTCCTTGCATTTGACGTACAGCCTTATCTTTTTTAGAAGGATTTTTTTTCAGTGCAGTTATGCACTTACCGCCACTCCTACAAAATACACCGTCACTGCACTTTACAGTGAAACCCGTGAAGCCCTGTCAAACAGCCTCACGATATTTAAGGTGCTACAGCAAATGCAAAGATTATAGCTATCCTGGTAAGAGAGCTGATGAACATTTCTATGGGTGGTCGGGTAAGAAGAACACATTCGCTGGTGATAGCTGCTTCTCTCCGACGCAGTTGACCTGTGTGATATCACTTTGTTATCTGAGTGATCAGTGAGTGAGTGGCGTATCGGGAGCCTAACAGATTTAGACGCACTTCACACCAGTGTTACCTGCCGCTCACAACCCTTAATCCTTTTGAGAAACCGAGTCGATTCTTAAGCTGTAAAATCCCAATCCTGTCGCCTTTCATGCCAACATCTTTTCGGAAACCATTCCCTGAAAAGATTTACAACTTATGCAGTAAAATCGCGAGAGAAATGCACAGAATGCACAGCTTCACAGAATATAATGTAAAGTGACATTCATACTGATAAGAGTGGGATTATCCTGCTAATTTCCATTAGCACAAGTGTGTAAAAGTAGCGGACGGTGCTTAAAAGGTTTCAAATAACAGCAGGCAAAGGTTCAGATAGATCAAAGGCTTCCTTATGCTCTTAGACAATCAACCTGGATTTGTAATAAATAGTCCTTTTTTCCCCCTTTTCACGCACCAGTTGATTGTGGGCTGCATTTTGTTTTCAGTTTGACACTCCCTCTTTTAACTCTGGTTATGGTTTGCCGGAGCCCCTCCACCTCGCCCCCTCCCTTACCTTCTTCAAGGCCCATCTCAAAACCTTCCTCTTTGGCCGAGAGCTTCGGTCATCTTCCCGCCCCCCAATCCCTCTTGCTCTCCAACCCATCTTGACTTCAGGCTCAAACCCTTTACTGTCCACCGTTGAGCGATTGAATGAATTATAATGAATCGGAAATGAATAAGTTTCACTCCCCGTTCTCTGCTATTCCTCGTTCTTGGGGGAAGGTCTGTCGGGAAGGATGGGCTTTGGAAACTGTACCCCAGTGGAGCAAAATCCTCCTTGAACCTACTTAAGAAAAGGTAGGAGAATCTGGGGCATTGAGGAGCTGTCGGCACGGAAAGATTAAAAGGAAATTGAATTAGATTAATCAGCGCTTCACCCAGCCCTGGTAGTGGAGCTTCACACAGTCCAATTAAGACCTGGTGTATAAATACCTTTTCTGTCCCCCCGCTCAGATACACCATATCTTCACAGAAATGTTCCTACTCCGGTCTCTATCACCTCTGAATAGTTCGGATGGCTGCGTGTGCGTGAATAAAAAAACAAACACGGGGAAGAGAACTCAACTCAATATTGTGACTGTGTTTCAAAAAGTATTTACGAGCGAAATATAATAATAATATTAATAACAATCCTTGCCTTCGATACAGCGGCTTATCTCATCGTTGAGACGTCTGAAAGCGCTTCACAGAATATACTGTGAAGTGAATCGACTGCGTGTTTTGCGGTTGAAATGTGGCTTTAACCCAAGGCACTGTGGTGGTGGGGTGGTGTGGGGTGGGGGGGAGGGAGGAGATTCCCATTCCGCCACGGATGCTAATTCATTCACCCTGTGACTGGAATGCGTGAAACAAACAGGAAGCATCTCAATCTGTTCACTAGTAGCTGCAAGTTTTGCCTGTAGGAGATGAATAGGCAGCGTCTGCGTTGAAGGCCATCTATTTCTTTCAAATGCATTAAATCATGACTGAAGGTTTAAGCGAAAATTTAAGGAACTTTTGTTCAGCGATTGAATATGTAGCAGTAGAGCATCTGACAGGATGGGTTGGATGATGATGATGATGATAATAATAATAATAATAATAATTCTTGTATTTGGTATAGTGCCTTTCACACCAGGAGAACATGTCCCAAATGCGCTTCGCAGGATTTACTTTGAAGCGGAGTGAGTGACTGTGTGTTTGTAGGGTTGCAGGTGATCTGTTGAAGGAGTGAACTCAATGCCTTTTCTCGGGCAATGATTTCCTATAATAATTAATAATCCTTGCATTTGATACAGTGCCTTGTCACGTCTTCGAGCCGTCTCCAAGCGTTTCACAGAATATACTGTAAATCAAGCGCAAGGGATTATTATTTATTATTATTATTATTTTTTTATGGTACAAGAACCAGCACTAGCCTTTACACTACATCGGAGCCGCGCCAGAGTCAAACAACAACAACAATAACAATCATTGCCGTTTGTACAGCGTCTTTCAGGGCAGGACGACGTCCCAAAAGCGCTGGACAGTCCAGGATGTGCACCCAAGCTGACGGTTGGGAACAGGAGGGGTAGAGGGCAAGGGATACCGGAGGGAAAAGCTAGAGGCACAAGCCGCCTTCTGCCGGCATTTCTGAGCTAAGTGAAGGAGGAGGCAGCTTCATTGGAGACGACAGGCACTGCAGCATGTTCCAGCATGTGACTGGGCTGATTAAAGCTCACAGCTTCACAGCACAAGCTCAATACTTTAATCCACTTGAGGCTTCATATTACCCCTGACACATTGGCTGTTACTATTTCCGAATGGATTTGAAGATGTCACTTGAAAGCCAGTGGAATCGAATGATGTCGATCTGCGCACAGACGCAAAAAAAGGGAGAAGACATTGTCAGTGGTGTCGACGCTCCTATTTGATCTCTCTCCCCTCTAGTTTGGTGCTGTAATAGTTAGGGGGTTTGTATGGAGGGACGGTAATTTGGGGTTCATTGGTCTTTTGCAATGCACCATCCACTGGCCGCTAGAGGAACTGAAGGATTTATTGCACACCTATTCCAAAAAGTTTAACCTTTATTGCTGAGACTTCTCTGAATTCCTCTTTTACCCTTCCCTGCACGTTACTTAGATGTCTGTTATTCAGTGTCTTGATACTAGGAGCCTGGCATATCAGAGGGCACACTAGTTTTCCTTTTCAGCTGATTGCATAGGTGGGATTGCTACATAATAATAATGACAATTCTAAAAATATTAATAATAATGACGACACTTGATTTTAATACAGCGCCTTCCATGTCAGGAGGACATTTCGAAATGTCTCGCAGGATTTTAGTGACTGTGCTTCACGTGGAACATTAAAAAATGTGATTTTTTTTTCACGTACAGTATTTCCTTTCCTCTATTCTGGCAGTGGAGCATTTTCTGAAGTGTATTTGGCGAAAGAGAGAGAGAGTGGAAAACTGGTCGCCTTGAAATGCGTCCAAAAGAAGGACAAAGACGGAAAAAACAAGGCGTTGGAGAACGAGATCGCAGTTCTCCGAAAGTGAGCCCAATTCTGTACATTTTCTGGTTCAATTTATTTATTTCCATTATGCTTTCATTATGAGACTCAACGTCACTTTTTCCACCCCCCCCCCCCCCCCCTCCCTTCCCCCATGCTTCAGGATAAAACACGAAAACATTGTATCTCTAGAAGATGTCTACGAGACTCCAACCCACTTCTACCTGTCCATGCAGCTGTGAGTACCTGCCAATGTTCTGTACCCTCTTCCCAATCCTTACACCTCACACGATTACACCCAAGGTTTGCTCTGTTGGCAATTGGTAGCCTTGGCTCGCTGCTCCACTCTAATTGGAAGTGGGAATCATTTAAGCGTCGCACTCTCTCAAGTTGTTGTTGTTGTTGAGTTTTACTGTATTACTGGTGTCCGGGGTTTGAGTAACTGGCAAGTTGGCTCGGCCTGGCTTTCACACACACTGTGCCCTGGTCTGCAGGGTGTCTGGAGGCGAACTGTTCGACAGGATTCTGGAGAGAGGAGTTTACACGGAGAAGGACGCGAGCAATCTGATCCAACAGGTCCTCAAAGCCGTGCAATACCTGCACAAAAACGGGGTCGTGCACCGAGATCTGAAGGTATTAAACATGATTTCGGGTTCCGACTGCGGTTGTGGAAAGCAAATCAATAGCGAATTTGACACAAAGTTGTTGGGAGAGAGAGAACCAAAAAAAACAGGGCTAAGATTACAATCCCCCAAAGCAGTTTTGTAGCCAGGGTTTTGTTTTCGAACTTTTAGTCGTTTTCTTTTTATAATCGAGCCTTTTCTCAATTTGGGAACAGCATTAAAAGCAAGAAAAAAAAACAGATTGGTGACGGATTTGTATAGGCAGCTCGGAATTGCTGGCAATGAAACCCATTCTAAAGCTCTCTGTTTGTCTCCCAGCCTGAAAACCTGCTGTACTTCAACACTGATGAAAACTCCAAGATCATGATCAGTGACTTTGGCCTTTCTAAGACGGAGGAGATGGGCATCATGTCTACAGCCTGTGGCACACCAGGCTACGTGGGTAGGTGTGAGGGACTTCTGAACTGGAGTTTCAGTGGCTGAGTAGTTAACGAGACACGCGTTCGAGTGTTTAGCCGGGGTTCGAAGTGGAGACTGCATCGTCTTGTAGAATTAAACAACCCACGTTACCTGGTGGCAAATGGTGCCAAGACTTTCTCACACCTTGTATATTTCCTGTTTTCCGTGTTACGTGTGTCGGAGTGTATGCCACACCTGCTTTTGTTTCTATTTGCTTCGATGCAAAGCAGCTCCCCCCTAAAAAAGACTAAAGCTGGGTTTCCCTTTCCTTAGCCCCAGAAGTTCTCGCCCAGAAGCCGTACAACAAGACCGTGGACTGTTGGTCTATTGGAGTAATCGCTTACATTCTGTGAGTATTGCTGTCATCTAATAATAATAATAATATTGTGATCATTCTGCTGCACTAAAGGGAGAAAGCCAATGTCCTCCACAAGAAGCACCGAGGAACATTAAAGGATGTGGAGAGTTAGCAGGAGGGTGGGATTAGATTAAATGACTCGTGTGGAGAATATTAACCGACTGTTTGTGAGATGCCGATGTGAGCAATTGGCTGCCGGGTTTTGCCCACAAATCTAATCAATTCGCTTTACAGTGTATTCTGTGAAGCACTTTGAGGCGTCTCAACAACGTGATAAGGCGCTACATCAAATGCAACGATTATTAATATTACATAACAGGGCCGACTTGATGGGCTGAATGTCTTGTTTCTGTCCTGTAATGTACTAAAATCTTATGGTTCTAACTAAGAACCTTCTGTCATCTTTTTAAGATCGCTGTGTCAGTATGTTCATTCCCTCCTCCTGCACTGGCCTTACCCACGTTGTTTTATTATCTCAGGTTGTGCGGTTACCCTCCTTTTTATGAAGACACAGAGTCCAGGCTGTTCTATCGAATTTCCAATGCTGAATACGAGTTTGACTCCCCGTTCTGGGATGATATCTCTACCTCAGGTATACGAGCGCTATAGGATTAAATTACTAATTGTGGATTGCGTTGTCTACAAAACACACAGGGGTTGCATTTGATTGACAATTACCTGTGATGCCCTATTCAAGACTTGATCTCTGTCCCTGTCAATCCTATTGACAAGATTCCAAGGATTGCTCATCCCTGTGTTTTCATCCCACTTGCGCTATTGAGCATTGTTGAAGTGTTAGCAAACACCCCATCCAGGCCTCGGTTTCCTTGACAGCCCATAAGAATCCATTGAAACGAAGCAGAGTGCTGACAGGCTTCTCAAACAACCAGCCGGCAATGCTAATTGAGGACAGGGTGTTGCGTCCGCTGGGTTAACCTCCTGTTTCTCTTCTCTTCTCCCCCAGCCAAAGATTTCATCAGGCACTTGCTTGAGAAGGTCCCAGAGAAGCGCTTCAACTGTGAACAAGCTTTGCGACATCCCTGGTAAATAGCAGTAATCGATAATAATAATTACATTTGATATCGAGCCTTATCATGTCTCCGAGACATCTCAAAGTGCTTCACGGGATGTGCTGTAAAGTGAATTGACTGCACATTTAGTGGGTGAAACGTGGTTTGATGTACATTAATGTTAATGATAATAATAATAACCTGTGCCTTATCACATCGATGAAACTTCTCAAAGCACTTCACAGAATACATTGTAAAGTATATTTTGACTGTGCATCTTGTGGGCGAAATACCTTCTCTGAATATAGAAGAAAGAGTGAGGGAGTTGGCATGCTTGGTGAGGGGATCATGGAAAGATCCATGGATTGACTCCGAGCTTGCTTGCTGTTACCTCTGGGCGCTTGTTCTGAGGTGCAGGAACCCACTCTGCCTGTGTGGTGTAAGTCCCGGATCGAGGCACGGGTTAGTCAGTAACTACAATAATAAGTACTAGTCGCACTGGGCTGGCTGCGGTCTACCACTCACACTTTCTTCCCCTTCGACCATCGACAGGATTGCAGCAAACACAGCTCAGCACTGTGATATCTACAATTCTGTCAGCGCTCAGATCCAGAAGAACTTTGCAAAGAGCAAGTGGAGGGTAAGTTCCCCTGCGAAGTACCTAAAACCTCCTGTTAATCCCGCCAAACCATCTGCTGCAATTGTCACCCAAGAGGCTATTTTTTGTTTCATGTTATATAAAAGAAACCACGTTAATTCTTTTAACTTTTATTGGTGTGCGTTTGGTTCAGGCAGCGACACTCTGTGAGTTCCTAGCCCCGTGTTGTATTTTTCGGAGACTCTGTCCTTTGGATGAGACGTTTGCTGTTCAGGCAGACGTTAAAATTCCCCTAAAAAATTTTGATAAGCGAAGGGGGTTTCTTCTGATGTCCTGGCCACCAAACCTTCAGATGATTCAGGTCACTCACTTATCAGGTATTTTTTTCTGGGGTGGGGGACATTACTGTGATTTCCAACCGATAAAAATGACAATAACAACAATAATCGTTGCATTTGAATTAGCGCCTTATCACATCGTCGAGACGTCTCAAAGCGCCTTCACGGGATATACTGTAAAATCAATTGACTGCGTATTTTGTGGGCGAAACGCGGCAGCCAATTGCGCACAGCACAAATAGTCACTAGACTGGGCAGCAAATACCTGCTTAGAGCTTCATTTTAGGAGTCGAACGCAAGGTTTATTATTCAATTCAGAAGATATTCCAATCATCTTTCCACTTCCTGGAAACGGTGCAAAATAATCTCGAGAAATCGTTTGACCGTTCCTGAGCTATAAAGAGCTTTTGAAGACCCAAGCAGTGGGAGGCTGTGAAAAGGATATTGCTTCTCCAGTGTCTATTAAAGATTCAGTGTTTTCAGGAAACAAAAGAAAGTTTTTTTCTGGGGCACTTTGCTGGTAGGACATGACGAAAAGCTCGGAGGATTGAAATCCAAAAGCCAATTTGCCTCGAAATGGAGATTTGGGGACATCTCAGAACGTCAAATCATCGAAGCGACTCCAATGTTTTGCAGTAATAACCCGAGAGCTTCATTTTGGCTAATCGCCCCCAGAAATCTTTTGTGGCTCTTTCGAAATCTTCCCACGTAATCTCATAATAATGAGCTATCCGGCTAGACATCTGCCCACTCCTGTCAACGCAGCAGGCGTCTCTTACGAACGGTTTGTGCTGTTGCAAACTGCTCTCGTTATTGCAATTCGACAGCTCACTCACAGCAGGATGAGGCGCAACCTTTAAGGTGAGGAGAGTTATGAAGTCGTTGGTTTTCGGTGCGATTGCGGTGCAGCTCAGGGCAACCACAAGAACCGTATGGAATATATTTATAGATTTACCTGAGTACGTTTATATTATAATAAATAATTAATTATTTATGTTAATATATAGGGAGTTGAGGTACAGATCAGCCATGATCTAATAGGAAGAGCGGAGCAGCTCGAGGGGCTGAATGGCCTCCTCCTGTGTTCCTATGTTCCATTGGGACCGTCATCAATCGTCTGTTCCATCGTTTTATTGATTCATTCCAATCCCAATTCATATGGTTGTTAGTCGATTTGGCGGATCGCTTTTTCGGGTGTAATAATGCCTTTAAAACCATTTTTTAAAAAAGAGTTTTGTCACTCAATCCCCGACTGTTTGTGGGGACGCTGCTGTGCGCAATTGGCTGCCGCGTTTCGCCCGTAAATACACAGTCAATTCACTTTACAGTATATTCTGTGAAGCGCTTTGAGACGTCTCGAAGACCCGATAAGGCGCTACATCGAATGCAAGGATTATTATTATTGCTATTATCATTATTGTTATTATTTGCCTTCCTTTTCTTTGCGCTTTGCTCCACTCACAACTTGTGTCTAACCGCCCACATGGTCAGTTGTGCTTTCCACGTTCGCTCGGTACCTTTGGAAAGTGTTTACCTGCCAAGCGCTTTGAGATACTTCCCACGTTCTCAGGTTCTTTTCTTTCTTGTGAGTCTGACTGCGCTCTGCCCTTTCTCCCCGCTCGCAGCGAGCGTTCAATGCCGCGGTCGTGGTGAACCACATGAGGAAGTTGCACACGGGGTCAAACCAGAACCAGTTGGCAGCAGCCAAACAGGCGACTTGTTCACTGAGCGGCGGGAAGGCCTCACAGGAAGAGCACCAGAAGGCGCCCTCCAATCCCCCACAGAACGGGTCACTGGTGACCCACAACCCAGTGCCGATCACCGAGACGAGCTCCGTACCAGCGGAGCCCTCAAAGCACCTTAGGACTAACGAGAAGCCAGCCCAAAACCCATCAGAATTTGCGTCTCCCAATGCGGAAGGAAGCAATGGACTGTCAAAGCCCACTAACTGTGCGGTCAACGGGAAGCTGCTTGAGGAGTCCAGCAAAGGGCCAAATCAAGACCTGGTTTGTAACCCTGCGACGAATGGCCTTCAATCAAATAGAATCAGTGTTAAAAATAAGTAAGTGTCCCGTAACTTTATCGTTCAGATTGTGAGATTTGTGGAGGCTCCAGCGTGTTGCTTTTCTTGGAAGGCAACCGTGCCATGGCAGCAGAGCGCCCCCTTGCGGTGGCAGGAAGGAGCGGGCTGGGTCCCTCCAGGTTAGAGTAGGGTCAGCAGGAGCCGTTTCCGCTGGCGGGTGGCGCGTTAACGAGCGGTCACAGATTCAAGATAATTTGCAAAAGTACCAGAGGAGGAGAAATTTTTTTTTTTTCTTTCGCAGCGAGTTGTTACGACCTCTGCAATGCGCTGCCCGAAACGGTTGGTGGAAGCAGAATCAGTATTAACATTCAAAAGGGAATTGGGCAGACACTAGAAGGGAAAACAATTTGCCAGGCTACATGGGGAATGAGGAGGGGAGTGGGGCTACTCGGATAGCTCTTTCAAAGACCCGGCACAGGCTTGATGGGGCCGAATGGCCTCCTTCCCTGCTGTAACATTCTATGATTCTATGTTGAATCCAAGAGCCGCGATAGGAGAAATAATATTGAACTCAATATTATTTTCTTTTCAGGACGGTGGCTTATCGAGCTACGATTCCGGGCAAAGGTCATTGCCTCAACGGTGCCACTCAGGGCACCACTTGGCAGACGGGGGTATGTTTGGTCATGTGAACCCCCTTTGCCGGGGGGACTGCGTTTGTTTCCCTTCAATTGACGGTGAGTTGCTCGAACACGTTTCTTTTCTTGGAGCTGTGGCTCGAGACGGCTAAACAAATGATTGCACCAGTCCTGAACTCCGAAGGATAATTTTGTCTACGTTTTTAATCACAGTATTAGCATCTCCCCGTATACCCCATACCACAAATCCCCCCCCGATTCGGGGTCATTTGAAGCTCCTGCTTAGTAGACCCATGAGTTGTCCTTCCTATCGACCTTATGATTCTAGGAGATTAGAATCATAGAAAATACACGCAAGAGGTCGTTTTTTCCAAGAGCCTATCCAGGTGCTAGCTCCTCTAATGGAGCACTCTACACTTAAACAAATTCCGCGCTCTTTTTGGAATAATAATCCTTGCATTTGATATAGAGCCTCGTCACGTCATCGAGACGTCTCAAAGCCCTTCACAGAATATACCGTAAAGTGAATTGACTGTGCATTTCGTGGGCGAAACGCAGCAGCCAATTGCGCACAGCAGTGTGCCACAAACAGTCGTGGATTGAGTGACCGCATTTTTTTTTAGGGATTATTACCCCTGGAAAGCAATCCGCCAATTGACTAACAGTTTCCTACTTACTGCTAGGTAAACAGAGGCGGGGGGAGTAAGAAAAGTTGCCTAAGGTTTCGCCCTGCCTGGGAATCAAACCCAGGTCCTCTCGCTTGCAAAGCGAGCCCACTAACCACTACGCTAGGGGATTTGTACAACCAGAAACTTCGACTTAAGTTTCCCTTTGTGTTTACTTTCTCATTGAGGCCAGGATGCTGGGATCCATTTAAAAAACAGCGCAATGCTGTGTGGGAAAGGTCAGCAGGGAGGGTGTTCACCTTACGCCGATGCCATGTTAGAAGATCACTTTGCATGAGGTCCGATGAGGTTTTGCATAACCCACTGACGCTTACATTAAACTGACTGCTCCTTATTCCAGGTGGAATGGGTCGGCTGCTCAGTAATTGCATCCAGCGTTGAGGAAGAAGGTGAGAGTGAAAGAGTGAGCGAGAAAGAGAAAGAGGATTGAAATCCCTCAACAGAGACGAGAGAGATTTCATCAACAGGAGGAACGAACGAACGTGCAGTGTTGTCAAAAGAAAGCACTGCACCTCCACAGCCGCCACTGCAGTGTTTGAGTTTCAGCCCTCACTGAAGAACATAGAATAAGTTTTAATTCTCCATAGAATTAAGCTTTTGGAATAGACCCTTCCAATAAATGGCAGCCTCTCAGCTCCTGCACTGGACCTGGGTTAAACCGCAAGGTGTCAGAAGACTTGATGCTAAACCATGTAAACAAACAACTTAAAGTGGTCGCGTACTGTGTTCGTTTTCAAACATTCCCTTTTCCTAAAAAAATGTGTATATATATATATATATTATATACAAATATATATAATCTTGCTTGTTTTACTGCGAGAAGTTGGCTTTACTTGTGCAATGTGCGTACATTTTCGGTTTTGCTTTTAAATCGTGTTTTTTTTCCCCCCCTTGACCGGCGCAGCATGTCACTGGCAGTGACCGGGTTATGAGTCAGGAGTGCGATCGTCCTCAGTCCCTCGCGTTGAATTATTATTTTTTATTTGAAATTTGAATCTTCTTTTGGGGGGTAAATTTATCTGAAATTTGACGTTTGGAGATGAGGTCCCAGATCGGCCACAATCTGATAGAATGGCGGGGCTTCAACTCAAGGGGTTGAATGGCCTACGCCTGTTCCTGCGTTTCCTATATATATATATATATATATAATACGTGTGTCACGTTGAGTTCTGAATGAAATGCGCACAGGGCTAATGCTTCAGCTCGTCGCCCAACGAAACACGGCTTGCGGTTGGCACTATGACACATCTTAAGAGGCAGCAGCGTAGCTTAGCAACCTGTCATAGCAACGGCACTGTGACGGGTACCGCTCTGCTTCTTCTGCACGAAGAAGGAAGCAGATGACGGTTCAGGTTAATGTAACTAATCAGGAAGTGCTGACCTTTTGTTCTGCCAATTTCCTCCCTTCCTCGTCTCCTGAAGCTGGTGATTTTTTTTTTTGCTGGGCTGGGACTTGATGCCACACATTACAGCACAGTCTAATGACTGGCTGGCGCGTTGGTATGTCCTTCCTATGCCCGCCCTTGCCCATAGGGTTGCTAATGCCAATATGTTAAGCTCCAACTGTGATGCCGCGGGTAAACTGAGCTCGGCAAACACAGCACAAGCCACGCAGATCGAACCTATAGGCTTCTGGTCTGTGTGGCTTCACCAGTTGGTTTGTTTAACCTTTTTTTTTTGAATCCTTTAAACGAAAGGACAACCCGCTGGCTCTGCAGAGATGTAAAGATGTTATTGTAAAACAAAAATTGAATTGGGGGTGGGGGGTGCGGAAGAGGAGGAGGAGTGAAGAGAAGGTACTTTATATTCTTTGTTGCCTTGGTGATTTGCGCTCGTAGTTGATTTAAGTTTACACTTTTCGGAAACCTGAGCCGGGGTTGCGTAGACGAGAAAACAGCACTTTATTAACAATCCCGTTGACTATTTTATGCAGAACGGGATTATGTTTGCAGTCACAACACTCCATTCTCTCCTGCACTGTAGAGTTTAACTTGAAATGAAGCTTAATGACTGCGTTCTATGGTGCAAATAGACCATGGTATTGCATAAGTCAAAACGTGGCAACTATTTTGTTCATTGTTTTTGAGAGCTTCTTCTGTAGATGTCGAGATTAAAGTGTGGAAAAGGGAACATTCGATTGCATTTGTCTTTTATTGTAGGCGTTTTTAAGGCAAGTTCTTTCCGAATTCAGTTTCAAAAAGCAACAGAAGGTCTGACCTCCAAAACCATTTTGGACTCAATTATTTTCTAAAAGGAAAATTGTTAAATCCATTCCTCATCTGGAAGCCGGCCCTTTTTTTTTAAACAAACAGAAGTGGGCAAAACTTGCGTCCAAAGCAATTGGATTCAAGATTTTTTTCCCCACAATTCTTAAATTGTGAAAGACAAAACGGTCTCTCAGGCTGCGTCTAGGTGGAATTCTGGACCTGTGAAACCGTGTTAATCTGTATCTCCATGTGCTTGTGAGCATCCATTGGAAACTCTTTTGCTGCAGATAATTCCAAGTTGGACATTGCATGCTGTATGATACATTTTTACTGGATTCAATCTTTAGACAAATTCATTGGTCACATTTGAGACAATCTCCAACTTAAACCAATGTTCTTATCGGCTGGTAAGCCTTAACTGTTTCACCTTCAAATCATTTTATTGAAATTGAACCCATTGCAAATAAATTGTATGATAATAACAATAATCCTTACGTTTGACAGAGCGCTTTTCATATCAGGATGACATCTCGAAGCGCTTCACGGGTTATGCTGTAAAGTGGAGTGTCTGCTTTGTGGATGCTTATTCCCATCATGTATGAAAGATGGGTTAATGTAACAAACTTGAATACTGTTTGAATTGAATCGGACTATTTCCTAGGTCTAACCGGCACTGATTAAATAGTTTTTGAGGAGCCTTGAATAACATGCACGTGTAACTTGAATGAATATTATTTAATATTAATAATCTAGCTTTAGCTCGGAAGAAGGTATGTTGAATGTGAAAAGAACAGTTAAATGTCTTCCAAGTTTCCTGAGGATCACCTATATGCACCCGTCATATGCCCTTGCTTTTTCACGTATATAGTCTGTGATGTTTTTGACTCGACTCTGGTAATTGTCCAGTGTGGATGATCTTCTCTCCAAATTCTTGTTCCCCTCTGCCAGGTTTTGTTCGACTTCTGAAAATAAGAATACATTTCCGAACATCAGGAACAACCCACGATGTGCAAAATGTTTCCTTGCACAAGCGCTGGGAAAAATTATAGTGATTATCCCTCTGTGGCTCATTGGGTCGCGCACCCCAATGCCACAGATATTTCAAACCATTGACACTCTGGTTGGAATCGAGCTCCGTGCTCCAGCTCACTGGTAATGAGCTCTGTTAGCTCTCGAGTGTGCAGCTCACAAGGCGGAAATAGTTCATTGTGAAGCCAATAGAGCTGTACGCGAAGTGTGTGAACACTTCCCCACCATCCTCAAGACTCGAGCCAGGAATTCATGAACAGTGACTCCTGCAGTGGCAACTTGGCACCCCTAAATTATTACCCAAGCACTTTTGAAGCATATCTCAAACAAAATTTTCCATCAGTGTACGGATATGGACCTTCATCATCTTTACTGCTTCATAAAGCGGAATCAAAGGATATAAATTGATTGTTTCTTTACTTCTCTGTGTGAGTGAGTGAGCGTGTGTGTGTGTGTGTGTGTATATATATATATATATAAAACATAAGGCAAATCATTTTCAACAACCGACCTGCAATTTTCTGCACTATCTCCTGCATCTCTTTGATGTAGTCAGCGGCCTCAAGCTTGACAGCATTGATGCGATCCGTGAGGTTACCCGGTTGTGCAACTGGTACTGTATTCTTCAGCTTTCTGTAGAGCCTGGTTAGTTCATTCATGTTCTGGGGAGACGGAAATACAGGTCAGTTAGAGGTGCGATCCCCCAACCTTGAGTAACAAACTCACACTCGCACTTATCCCTCGCTCCGAATGTAATAAATAATAACGCTTGCATTCCGTATCATACAATCGTAGAATCTTATGCCACAGAAGGAGGCCATTCACCCCATCTTGCCTGAGCCGGCTCTTTGAAAGAGCTACCAGCCAGCGCCTTTCACGTCAGGAGGACGTCGCAAAGCGCTTCACGCGATTACTGTCAAGTGTAGTGACTGTGCATCTTGTAGCTCAACCCAATTTTGTAGGGCGGGAGCATGGCCGATTTCTCACGCGGCGACAGCAGGAGAAAATGATGGAATTGTTGCCCCTTTCTCCGTGTTATCTGTCTAAGAAAATATGCTTGGACGTGCCTGGTAAAAGGGAAATCTTAAAGGCAAAACTTGGCTGTAGATAGTCATTCATTTTCCAATGCGATGGCTTTGTGTGGTTGTATTTACCTGCTCAGCCTCATCACCCATGTCTTCTGCATCGTTGGCTTTCTTTTCTGCATCTTTGGCCTTTAGCCTGTTCAGGTTGTTTTGTTTCTCTAAGTCATCGATTGCCTGACTGACACCCTGCAACCGACCTATTATATCCTGCAAGTCGTTATCCACTGGATATTGGAGGTTTTCAATCTGAAAGAAATCACATCAAGGATAAAAGAACCGAATCTTTGCCAGACTTTGGTTACGGTTTATATTGTACAATGACCTATGATGCTAAATAATAATAATAATTCTTGCAATTGATATAGAGCCTTATCAAGGTTGAGACGTCTCAAACTGCTTCACAGAATATACATTGTAAAGTGAATTGACTGTATATTTTGTGGGCGAAACGCGGCAGCCAATTGTGCACTCGTGGATTGAGTGACCAAATTATTATTACTATGGTTATTATTCTTTACCCCCATAAAGAGATTGGCCAATCGATTAACAACCAGGTACCTACTTACTGCTGGGTAAACGGAGGCATGTGGAGTAAGGAAACTTGCCTGAGGTTTTGCCCGGCCTGGGAATCGAACCCGGGTCCTCTTGCTTGCTAAGCGAGCACGCTAACCAATCCACAGGACTAAATAGTCATTTCTGATGCATCCAGAGCACATGGATAATAATAATTATCCTTGCATTTGATAGAGCGCCTTTCGAATCGGGAGAACGCCTCGAAGGATTTATTGTAGAGGAGCTTTGCTGCGATGGTTATAATAATATTTCCATTTGATGTGGCTTGTTATTAACTCGATCACCTTCCCATAGCCCTTCCCAAATCTTATCGTTTTGGTTTATGTTGAGGCAGAAGCTCTTGTTATCTCCATTGTGGCCCAAGGGAATCAACGGTAATGTGTAAGTACTGGGCTGTAGTTTACCTCCTCGATTTTATCCGCGGTGTCATCAATCGTCGTTCTGGCATTCTTAATCCTCGTGTTTGCCTGCTTGAGGGCATCATCTGTGTCTCTCAGGGCATTGTTCACTTCACTGATTTTATTCTTTACGTCCGTGGCTTGGTCCCTGGATCACAGCAGCAAGGGAGGAAGCAAGGGGACAGTTTAACTCAAATGTGCATCGGATCATCAATCATTTCAAGGACAATTACTGTTAGTTACACTCAGAACACTGTGGAGTCCTGTAGAGTAGTGGTTAGAGCGCTCACCTCGCAAGCGAGAGGACCCGGGTTGGATTCCCGGGCAGGGCGAAACCTTAGGCAAGTTTCCTTACTCCACACGCTTCTGTTTACCCAACAGGTTTGTTGGACGATTGGTGGAACACTTTCCGGGGGTAATAATTTCTCCCCTCAAAAAATTCAGTCAATCAATCCACAACTGTTTGTGGGACACCGCTGTGTGCAATTGGCTGCCATGTTTTGCCCACAAGTACACAGTCAATATGTCCTGTGATGCGTTTGAGACGTCTCAACGACATGACAAGGTGCTATCTTGTTAAAGATTGTTATAATTGTTTAGGGCGTGGGAGGAATATATACTGAAGAGCACCGAAGAACACTTCAAGATTACATCACTACCGTTTTTCTCCCAGACTATCCCAGAATATCCAACTGACTTGCAGTGAGATTCAGCTGATACCTGGCACTGTTTGCAAACTCGAGAAGTCTCTTCGCCTTCTCAACGTCTTCCTTAGTGTCGGCCAGGAACTTGCTCACGTCTGGAAGATTGGCCGCAACTCTGCGTAACTCTCTGATCTTACTGTTGATCGTGAAGTCGTCTGTGGGAAGGCTGAGCGAGAGAACGTACTCGCTGATTTTCTGAATGTCTTTCGGGTCGACCTGGCTCGCTGCATAGGTTGAAAAGCAATGTTATTCGAACAGCTTGGACGGCAAGAAAGCAGTAGCAAAGCAGCGCGAACGAACTTTCAGCTATAATTCACATCATACTAAAACAGGTTGCCTCTCGTACATAGTCCACTCTCTTGTGCATTCAACCCAACAACCCACAACCTTCTGACTCACAAGGCGAGAATGTTACCCACTGAGCCAGGCTGACACTTCCTGAATGAATTGAAGCCAACCTTTATGCAGCTGGAATGGTCATTACTTACACGTCAGAAAGTCCCTTATTGTGCCGATGAGATACTTGACATCTGCAATATTCGCCTGAATCAGACGCTTGGCTGAGTTGACCCGATTTGACAATTCTAGGGAGTTTAATTTAATCCGTTGGGCCATTTGTTCTGTCGTTTGAAGCTGGAGATAAATGCAGGTTAGGTTACAAGCCATCCCCACCATTGAAACTACAACTGTTCGTTGTATAATAATTCATGCATTTGACATAACCCCTACAAGTGTTGAAACAACTCAATGCATTTTTCGCAAGAGTTTTCTGTAAAGCGTTATGTGACTGTAGTTGCAGGCAAACAAATGAATTCCAGCATGGATTCTGCAGAGACCGTCTTAAAATTTTGGATTGCGCCAAACTGAGAAAAACTATTAAATTTGTTCTCGATTGCGAAACCATTTCCCTGCAGTTCTTGAAAAAAAATCAGCTCCCAAATTGAAGCTGAACTTAGATCTTAAGGTGAAGATCATAATAATCATAATCCTTGCATTTGATATAGCACCTTATCACGTCGTTCAGACGTCTCAAAGCGCTTCTAGTGTGAATTGACTGAATTTTGTGGGCGAAACGTGGCAGCCAATTGTGCACAGCAGTGTCCCGCAAGCAGTCGTGGATTGAGCGACCGGATTTTTTTTTCTCTGTAAGATCACGGGTTAGGAATGCTAGGAAATTGAGTCATAGTCACATATTGGCACAGTCTATAAGTGCTGCAGTATTGCGATGTCGCGATCCATGTAGATACCTGTTTTGAGAGCTGCGCGATTCTGCTGTTGACTCTGGGTAGAGACGAGCTTGTTTTCTCAGCGGCCTCAATGGCTTTCGCTGCCAGTTGAAGGCTTCCCTTAGAGCAGTTGGCCCCAATGCAGAACTTGGGACAGATGTCCTCTGGACATGTCTCTGGAGTGCATGGCTCGTTCCTGGAACCACCACAAACCTGGAGGAAGGAGGTGGACGACGGTGGGGGGAGGGGGAAGAAAAACATATTATGATCACAAGATTATAAGCTTGGTCCAGATGAAGAAATCCTCTCACCTCATCCGATTTCACCCCTTCACAATACGCATTTTACTATCCTCACAGCAAAGAATCAAGCTGATTTTTAAATGAGTCTGTTGTACTGTACAGTGTACACCACCTGAGTAAGCCAACAGAGTTTAACACATGACACAAATTGCACAAATGATAGAATTCTCATTTTAGATTCACCATCACCAATTGCAGAAGCACTTGAAGCATCGCTCCTCCAAAGCCACACCTTTTGCTGACTTCTCTTGATCGGTATTCTTTGCAGCAGCTGATACGTTCGAATACTTAAGAGGACTCTTACTTTGTTGCCGAGAGGAGTCAAGTCGGGAGACTTCATATCTTGCTTCAGTTTCTTCAGTCTGTTGCTGTTATCTGGATTTAGTTCTTCAATCATTCGGGTGGCGTTCAATCGAGCTTTTCTGGACATAATGATGGTGGGTTCCAATCCAGCGACCTTGTCCTTTGCTTTCCCCGAACGGTTATACGATGAGAGAATACTGTCATACGCATCTGGAGGTAACGGTCAAGTGTGAAATTGTTAGTACATAAGACCGTAAGAATTTGCTGGTGACAGAAGACCAAGGTCCATCCTGTTCGCCTTCCACCACCCTGGCAGTCGCTTGACATGTCGTGTCCCAAACTATATACTGTAGCCTGAGATATTATTTCCTGACAGAAATCTATCTCATTTGTTCCTGAAAGAATCGACACTTTCTGCGTCCTCAGGTACCCACACACTTTGCTGCGCAATTGTTCCCAGTCATCTCCCTGCACTGCACCGCGGAAGCCGCTGTGAGGCACTGGTTCAGGTGTCCTCTCCCTGTCTGGGGCCTGGTTGAAACCGAAACTCGTACATACACAATGTCAAGTTAACTGTACCCAGTCTTCGACATGCGTTTAAGGCAGCCCCACAATATCCTGTGCCTTGGTTAATCATTTAGCTTTGTGTCCAGTATTTCTCCCACATCCAAAAAAAACCAAACGAGTTGGTCATTGCTGTTTGTGGGAATGTTGTTGCCCGCCGAATATCTGTGACTAGGTTTTGCGATTATTCATTGCGCGAGCGACTGTGAAAGGTTCGTCATTTTGGCATAACACCTGGGAAAAATCTCAAAGCACTTCATAGGGAATCACTGTAAAAGTGCTTCGAGATGATTCCAGGTGACGAAGTGTTTCAAATGATTGAGTTTTTGCAGATAAACACAGGGGCCAATTTGCGCGTAGCCAGAACATGAAGAGAATGATCAAGTCGTCCGAAAAATTCTTGGACCATTCCAGTCGTTAATTACACTCTGATTACCATTTATTTATCAGAATGTAAACTGGAGGCAGGGAATCATCCCACTCAGCTCCTGTTCACCGTACAAGCCAAAGCCCTAACGGTAGGGTGGTCCTAGTTGGACAAGCAGCGAAAAAGCTTGCCAAACAGCACGCTCAACGGGAAGCTATGTGGTTTTAGCTGGCTAGACTCAAGCAGTTACCCCAAAGTACACTTTGAGGTCCCCCAGAGCCTTGATTCTTGCCAACCTGCACCTGATATTTTCTGGAATTAGGTAAGCAGGATGTATCCCTCCAGGGAGAGAGAGGGAGCGCATTCCATTCCAACAATCTATCTCTGAGATTTCCACGTGAAGGTGGGATGCAGGGAATTCTCAGTTTGGTTTGGAGAATCGTAAGTGATGGGTTTCCACACGTGTCAGACACCCAGGTATAACTCTGGCCTAGTCTCTTCAGCGAGGACTGGGTATAGTTACCTTGTGTGCCTAGCCCACCCTCACGGAGTATCTGGTCCACCTGGCTCTTCTTAGTCTGGAATTGGTTGTTGATGAACCTTATGTCACTTTCTAAGATTTCCATCCTGCGGTTCAGTTGGAAACTTTCATCCTTAATATTGACATTAGGATTGATCCAGCTGGCCTCCTCTCTGTGGTCAAAACAAACAAAAGGAAACACAGTGACTTAGGACATTAAGAGTACCAAAAAAAAATGGAAATAATTTACTGGGTGGTTGTACAAGGGTAACACATGGAACTGAGGTCCTGTTTGTTGGTTAAGGTGGATAGTAAAGATCCCATTGTACTGCTCGGAAAGAGAAGCGAGTTTCTCCGGGTGTCCTGGTCGACAGTCCGCCAAGATAAAATTGGTCATCCACTTCAAGTTTGCTCTAAGTTACTGCACCTTAGAGTAAATCCTTGTGAAGCACTTTGAGTTGTCCGGACATAAAAGGCATTATATCAAACGCAATGGGGGGGTCGAAGAGGAATGTCTTCAGGCGCGACCTGAAGATGGGAAAGGAAAGGGAGCAAGCTGGAGGAGGACAGAGGAAGAGTGTTCCAGAGGTTCGGGGCGAGGTGGCTGAAAGCGCGGGCCACCGATGGTGGAACGGAGACAAGCAGGAGGCCGGAAGCCAGTCCTCTTTACCTGAGTCTGTTAAATTTGTCGTAGGCCTCTCTGATGGCACTTTCTCTCATGGCCGGGTTGGTGATGACAGCCTTCACCTCTTTCAGTTTGTTCTCAATGTCCCGGATCTGAGAGTCGTAGTTGGGCCCCACTCTGCCCGGCAGTTGGATGTTTATCAGGGTTTTGTAACGAGCGGCCAGGATGCTCAGTTTGCTGTCCACAATTTGGAAGCAGGGGTGGCACTGCTTGCATCCGGGGTACACGGAGCAGTAACCCCGGCCCCGTCGGCACTCGTCGCAACGTCTGCCCGTGAACGGCAAGCGGCACAGACACTCCCCTGTTCTCTTGTCACACCCACCGGTCTGGGTGCCGGTCGGATCACACTTGCAGCCTGTCAGGAGAGCAAAGGGGTCAGAGAGACCAGCACCTGAGGCGACATTGCCCTTCACATCAACGGCAACGACTTGCAATTTACGCAGTGCCCCTTCAGGCGGGACGGCATCTCGGAGCGCTTAACGCTGGCGGGGCCTGACCCTGAGCCGGTGGCAGTGGGGGTTGGGGTGGGGGGGGAGGAGGGCGGAAGAGGAAGGTCTGCATGGGCGATCTAAAAGAGACGGGGCGAGGCAGAGGGATGGGTGGGAGCGAGCTCCAAAGCTTGGGGGGGGGGGGGCGTAGTGTCTGAAGGCGCGGACGCCGATTGTGAAGCGGAGGGGACATTATGCCTCAATTATCGCTTAAACTGTAGAGCACTCGAGACATCCTCCCAACGTGAAAGGTAGTAGATGAGTGTAAGTGGTACTTGTATGAACCATTCAAATGGAACAAAACAAGGGATAAATATAGGATAATGCCAACTATCATATAATTATCGTATAATTATCCCCTTTTTCAATACACGATTTACGACCTATCTTTACGACTGCTCTGTGGGCCACATTCCACCCACCCCCCCCCCCCCCCACACCCAGTCATCGCTAGCTCCCAGGAAGCGCTTTAAGACGTCCGCCCAACATGAAAGTCGCTATATATAAATGTAAACTGTGACTGTAGTTGTCCCTGTTGAACGCGCTGTGAAACGTCACATTTTTTCAATTCATTCATTTTACGCAAGTGAGCAAGTAGCTGCCGCGTTTCGCCCAAAAATACACAGTCACTCCACTTGACAGTATATCCTTGAGACGTCTCGAAGACGTGATGAGGCGCTGTATCAAATGCGAGGATTATTATTGTTATTATTATTACAGGGAGATTAAAATCTCCGGATAAACACGCATATGTATTGTTAAACGGAGGTGGGGGCGATGGGGTGGCGGTGGGGCGTGTGGGTGGGGGAGAATGGGGTAGAGGGGTAAGTGATATTCTTACGATGGCATTGTGTGGCTGGGTCACCATAATAGTTGTCTGGACATTCCCTCAGTACTTCCACGCTGCAGGTTTTTCCGGTAAAGAATGACTTACAGGGACACTGGCCTGTGACCTGGACACAACGACATTGCAAACACATCAACACACACTGTGACGTTGCATTGGCAAGACTTTCAGCGATTGGCACATGTACCTGGTGAGCCACTTGAGACTTGCACCTGCTTTACGCAAACAGAAAAGCTTCAGCACAGAGAGAAGCCGTTTGGCCCACCGCGCCTGCACCGTTGCTATTTTTCTTAAGGCGCCCGTTATTATTAATCCCGCTTCAAAGCTCTTTCTCCACGTCCCTCAGCGCCGTCAGCGCTCCGCTCCCAAACCCTGTCACGCTCTGGAACTCTATCCCGCAATCCCTTGAATCCCTTCCCCTCACCCCTTTTCTTGCTTCCTTCAAGTCCCATCTAAAAAAGACCTTCCTCTTTGACCGTGCCTTCGACTAGCCTCCCACCCCTACCCTCCCTGTCCTCCATCCCTCCTGACAACAACTCCCAGGTTCCCTGGGAAGCCTTTCCGACATGATGGGCGCTGGAACAAGTCTAATTTCTCGTCGTTGTTGACTGACCCTGTTTTGAATCAGTTAAGAGCACTTTCTGGGGGAGAGAGAGCACATGGAGGGGGCTCTCCGTACCTGATCGCATTGATGGCTGGTAGATTTGCTGGGGTCGCAGTTGCACGCTTGGCAGCCGCTTCCGCTCCTCAGGTTCCAGAAGCCGGGCGCACATCTGTCGCAGGTGGGGCCTGTTACTTTGGGCAGACAGTCGCACTGCCCATTGCCCTGGTTGCACCCACCATCGGACCTTGATCCTATCCAACTGCAGCTGCAGCCTGCAAAATAACACAACGTCTCATCAAACACGAGCAGAGAATAATGGAATCATAGAATCTTGTAAGCGCACACGGAGGCCATTCAGCCCATCGAGCCTCTGCCCGGCTCTTTGAAAGGGCTCTCCAACTAGTCCCACTCCCCTGCTCTTACCCCCGAGCCCTGCAAATTTTCGGTCCCTATCCAATTCCCTTTCGAAACCCACAAGCGAATATGTTTGCACCAACCCTTGCAGGCAGTGCATTCCAGATCGTAACCACCTCGACAAAGGCGTGTGATTTGTGTTGGGTTCACTGGGGGGGGGATGGATCTAAACAATCTTCTGATCGATCGCTCCCCTGCACACTGCCAACTCTGTGACTGTGCCTTCGATCATCTTTCCTCCCGTTGCCCTCCACCCCTCCCTGATCCCAACCCCTCAGTCTGGGCACAAAGCCCTCATTGTCCAGCTACGTGGAACGTCCTCCCGACAATTTGTGCAATTTGTTGTTGTTGTTGCGGCTGATTCCAATTCGCCCACCCAACCATCGGTGGGCGAGCTCTCAGCCACTTTGCTCCCGTTCCCTGGAACTCTCCCAAACGGAGCCGCACTTACCCCGACATCCCTGGGGGTTGCTGGAGCTCAGGGCGTAGAAGCCGGCTTTGCAACGGTCGCACCGCTGACCCTCCACGTTCTCCTTGCACTGACACCGGCCGGTCTGCTGGTCACACATCCCACCGCTCAATGATCCACTGCGGTCGCACTCGCAAGCTACACGGCACCAAGGAAACAAAAAGTATTTGTCACCGGGGAATCCAGTTCAAATGAGGCTCGGCAACATTTGGGATCATATTGATCCCTTGTCGAAACTCAAGAACAAACATTATTATTATTATTATTATTATAATTATTATTGCACAGCCCTGGGATGTTTAAAGCCCCAAATTTCTCATGATCTTAGTCTTAAGAGCAATCTTAATTATTATTATTATTGTTGTTGTTGCCCAGAGCTCTGGGATGCTGCTCTGGGTGATGGGCTCTATATAAATGCAAGTTGTTGTTGTTGTTGTTGTAGTTGTTGTTGTTGTTGTTGTTGTTTCGGGGGTCACATTATCCTACATGAAGGAGATACAATATAGATACAAGTTGCTGTGTGTGGTGTTTACTTACGAATGCAGGTATCGAAGGCTGTGACATCTCGCTGTGGCCCGCGGTAGAAGAAGGGTTTGCAGGTCTCGCAGTTCTTTCCCATTGTGTTGTGCTGGCAATCTTCACAGACCCCACCACTGCTCCCTCCGCTGGCTCTGAATATCTGCTCATCAAAGTGGCACTTCTGGGAGTGATTGTTGCAGTTGCACTCTGAAGGAGAGAATCAGAGAGAGTGAATTGGGGCGAAACGGAGGGGGGAGTCGCAAACCGCTTGAAATAGATCACTCGAAGAGCGTATGGTATTCCACTATAATCCTTCCAGTGCTGTGCCGAGAATTACAATCCCACAGAAAACAACCAGTCTTATCAAGAAGCCAGATAGAAGCCAGGTTAAATCATTGGACTCTTTGATCATCTCCCTTCGCCCCCTTTTCCCTTCCCTTGGCTCAACGTCTGACCCTGTCCCTTGCAAGACATTCTCCTGCACGAAGGGCACTAGTTATTGTTGTCGGTGGTATTAAGAAACAGAGTCATGCTTTAATGGGAAGACTGCGGATTGAGTATTCTGGAAGGATGAGATCAAAGGGACACAAAGGGCTTCCATCGCCCATTCCTTTCTCATGATCTGATGCCTTCCCTCTCTCTGAGAGCACATTATAGGGCCTCCACGAATGAAGTCAGTTTATTACAGTCAATTCAGCTCCGAACCCAGAGTGATCTGTGGAAGGGATCAGAGAGCTGAGTGATTTTTTTTTGGTGGGTGGGCGGGGGGGGGCTTCCCTTACTGCGGGAGATAATCAAGGAGGCAGATAATCGAGGTTCCACTGTATATTGATGTACCAGCCACTCCGAAGTGAGCCTCAATCCCCTCTGTGAGAGTCGGTAGATCCCAAAGACTAGGCTGCTCCCCGACCATCACTCACTTTTACACTCGTTGGTATTGTGGTCACTCGCTGGTTTCCACGGTTGGTCATTGTAGAAGTCCATACACATCTCACAGTTCTTGCCTGCTGTGTTGTGCCTGCAACCACATTGCACTGGTACCTAAAGGAAAATGAAACAGTGAATTTCAGACAAAGTACTGGAGGAGATAGCTAATAATAATAATAATTATTATTATTGTATTAATAATCCTTATGTGTGATACGGCGCTTCATCACATTGTCAAGATGTCTCAAAGCACTTCACGGGATATTACTGTAAAGTGCAGTGACTGAATTTTTTTAGGCAAATGCGACAGGCCGTCTGCACACAGCAACGTCCCACAAACAGCCAGGAGGTGAATGACCAATTTTATCGGGGTGGGGGTGGGGTGGGGGTGTGTGTGGTGGAGAGGGCTTTAATTGTTGGCTAACTCCCTTCTCTTTTCGGATAGTGCCACGGGATCTATAAACACCCACCCGTTGCAACGTGGAGATACACGGTGTATATGTAATATAAGGGTGTGGGGCAAAGATTAACGGAGACATGTTGCAAACGTGTTTGATCTTGAAACAATACAAGTGAAATTCTCACCGATGGCCTGGGTCCTCTGGGATTAAAAATCGACTGTGAAACACAGCGATCTGCGTGTCCATTGCAGAAGCAGCTGCCCTGCACCTTCATTTCATACACGTCATAGTACGCGTCAGCGTTGCGGAGATAGAAAGAGTCGGATTGCTTCTGGGGTTTCAAAAAGTTAATTCTCAGGTTTGTAAATGGTGTTAAATCTGAGGAGAGAGAGAGGGAGAGAGAAAGAGAGAGAGAGAGAGAGAGAGAGAGAGAGGTTGAGGGGGTTCAATTATTTGATAATTAACAGTTAAAAAGGCGTTCGCTCACAAATTACAGTCAACTCACTTTACAGTACATCCTGTGAAGCGCTTTGAGACGCCTCGAAGACGCGTTAAGGCGCTGTATCAAATGCGAGGATTATTATTATTATTATTTTTATTCTTAATTGTCCAACAGGGGGCACTAATGCTCCAGATATCCCTACTGCCAAAAAAGGAAAGCACCAACCGAACATCATGGTTTTGTGAACTTGACATTGGCAATCCAGATTAAACAGTGGCATTTAACCACAATTGAAGGATCAAGGCTGTAACCCGAGACATTCAAACAAAGTGTGTGCTGAGTGTGCAGGACACAACTACACTGGTTATTAATTTTGCTAATAACATGCCTTGCATTTTGACGTGGCGCCTTATTGCTTCGAAACGTCTCAAAGCCCTTGAAAGCCGTTTGCCTGTCAAGTTCTTTTCGAGGACTGGCTTAGACGATAAAAACGAATTCAACTATCTGCCGAAATCTGCGCTTTCGGAAGCGTTACGTTAACGGAGTGAATCTAGATCCGGGTGCAATTTTGACCCACAGAGCGTTTTCAAAACAAAATGATCCCCAGGCGTCTCTTACTGTTGATCTTGTCGCTGTTGTAGGCTCCGATGAAATCAGCCTGTTTGAGTGGGCTAAATGTCAGCTGGAATGAAAGATGGAAAGATTCGACAGTCACAAACAGCCTCACTTAGATCCATTAGAAATTTACAGCACAGAAGGAGGCCATTCAGCCCACTGTGGTTATGCCAGCTCTCTGAAAGAGCAAACTGTTCAGTCCCATTCTCCTGCCTTTCCCATCCCTCTCTCTTCCTCGCTCACTCCACATCCCTTTGCATGGCCACCCTCCGACCCCAACCCTCCCTGCCCTCCACCCCTCCTGATACCAACCCCCAGCTCGGGTCCAAGTCCCTAACTGTCCAGCGCCTCGGGATGTCCTCCCGACGTGAATTTCCAAGGATGAACCAAACCAAAACCCACAGGAGACGAGTGCATCAGGACCTGGCTTCCTTTTCAGGATTCCGTAACACCGGTTTCCAAAATGATACTGAACCCGATTGTTTCTTTTCCACAATTCTGCGCGATCTTAAGATTTAAGATAAAACACTTTTAAAGAACCGCTAAGATGGGGGGTTTGGAGCTATAGGCTAAGAATAGGTGAGATTTCTGTGCTCAGTTAGCTAGCTGGTCTCAACCAGGGCAGGGTGTTTCAAAAATCCCTCAGTTTCAAATCCCAGAACCTTCATATCTGCCAAGTTTCACAATCCAGTGATCTCTTGTACAGGATTATCAGTGGAGTTTTGATACCATTGAAATATGTTGACTTGTGAAGCAATATTGATGGCTGTACCTGCTTATCAGAGGCATCTTGCCTGAGGGGCATGAACTCACAGAACACATCGTTGAAGTTCTGCGGATGATTTGTGCTGATCTGGGGGAAGTAGAGGGCACAGTCTTCAGCGAGATACTTGTACGGTTTCCAAGTCTGTCCGGAATCTGTGGAGCGTTCAATCATTAAGGCAGCGGGGCGTGAAGTCTGGGGAAACGAACGGAGAAGAAGAGCAAAGCACATTAAAAAGTGTGTCACAGAAATCAGGAGGGTCAAAATCTACAGTTGCTGTAATCTACCACATGAGGAAACCCATCACCGTGCTTAAGAGTCTCCAAACCAGACTGATAGTTCCATGTATATATGCCGCCTACAGATGGCAACCTCTGTGTCTGGAAATGGAATGCGCACCCTCTCCCTGGATGGACGCACCCTGCTCGCCTTGTTCCGGCGAGTATTAGGGGTAGGTTGGCAAGAGCCAAGGCTTGGGGTTCCCAGGGTCTGCTTTGGGGTAACTGCTTGAGACTGACTGGCTAAAACCACATAGCTTGCCAGTGAGAGCACTGCCTGGCAAGTTTCCTGCTGCTTGTCCAGCTAGGACCATCCTACCCAATAGGGCTTTGGCTTGAAGTGGTAACGGGAGCTGAGTGGCAATACCCCCATGGGTTTCATTTCACGCTGAGCTGGAAGATCACAGGGAGATGTGGGCATTGCTGATAGAAATCCCTGTAGACTGGACTATCCCAGTCTCCTGGACGAAGACTTTGTTGATCAGAGTGAAGAAACTAAGGAATAAATCGAAGAGGACTAATACCTCTTCATCGACAATCAATAAAAAATGCTTCTTACCTTGAATTTTAGAAAGACATCATTAAGTTGGAACTTTCCTTCCATGTCTAACTGTATAGTCACCTGGTCCCGATCTGTAACAGCAAAGGGGCAAGGGAGAACAAGTGTTGGCTGATAGTTGGCAATATAGGACTTATCGAGTGAAGTTTGCTTGATTACTAATATCACTAACATTTTTCTTCCATTATCCCATCTATTCTCCCCTTTCCTCCAATCTATTAGACGCTAAGCTGTTCCTCTTTCCCAACTAAGGCTGACCACTTGCTCTGTGAATCCCTTCCCATTCCCAGCCAACAGCAGGTGGACAAGATGGCACCCTTCTCCAGCTGTCCTGACCCATCTCAGGAGTGAGAGTCTTCAACCATCGTTCAGCCCACCTACCGCTCCAATGTGGTCAGGATGAGGTATTTGCAAGGCTATGGGTAAAGAACGGGGGGGTGGGACTAGTTGGATAGCTCTTTCAAAGAGCCGGCACAGGCTCGATGGGCCGAATGGGCTCTTTCTGTGCTATAATTCTATCCGTAACTTTCTTCAACAAAATGCGCATTCGTCATGCCTGAGCTGGTCACAAGATCACAAGAGAGGTTCGGATGAAGAAGTCCCCTTTGGCCAAGTGGGAAGCTTGCCAGGCTGTGCCAGGCATTGGCCACTTTACCGACCTCCCATCACAGCAACAAGCTGTTACACAAACTGACCCGCACCACCGGATCCTGGCAATTAAACCCCAGTCCCAGTCATTAATTCCCCTCTGGGTAGAGAAATAAAACAATGCTGCTTTCCTGATGTAGTTTTTGAAGGCGGCTGTTATTCAGGAAACCTGTGGAACCCATCTCCAAACACAAGGTAAGTTAAATCGGCCAAGACAACGCAAATAAAAAAATGAAAGTTGAAAGTGATTTAAGTTCACCTGCGAAGTTGGCGTAATGCCTTCCACTACACTGACTGGCCACGACTGGCTGTTTCCTCAATTCAGTGCCACTATCCCTTTAACCTGAAGTGCTATTTTTTTCGAGGGGGTCGATAATACACTTGCGAAAAGGATGAGATTGCTGATCTTACTGTTTTCCGATTGCCACCAGGTCTTTCCATCACCTGACGGAAGCACGTTCTCTATCCGGTGGCTGATTCGCTGCGTGTTGGAGCTTAGGCTGTTTCTCGAGTCGCACACACAGCACTGCAACATCCACTGAAAGAGACAAAAAAAAACCCAAAATGATTTCACTGTCGTTAGCTAGAAAAGAACTTGTTTCAGATCTCCACGTTTAACAGATGGAACATTCTATCCGAACGTTTTTTGCCTTAGTTATTAGAACAAAAATTGATACTCTGGTCCTTGAACTGTCAGCCAGTGAATATGTGCAACACAGCAAATAGGAATTCGTTGATGCCAACTAGCCTTACACCATAAACTAAACTAGCACAACTATTTGCTCAGTGTTAGAAGTCCAAAAGTCCCAATTTCCTCGATTTATTTGCCTGAAACCTACATTTTTCATACATTAGACACCTTGTCAAACGTATTCCAACAAACGGGAGCGAATGGTTCTCGAAAGGATATTCCTGTGTCCCTCTAATAGTCATAATCCCTGCATTTCAGAAAGCGCCTCGTCACAATGTCGAGACGTCTCAAAGCGCTTCACGGAATACACTGTAAAGTGAATTGACTGCGTCTTTTGTGGGCGAAACGCGGCAGCCAATTGCGCACAGCAGGGTCCCACATATCACGAATTAAGGAAATGGAACTAACACTGTGTGGCCCATACTGCCTCAGTGGAATCGGCCTTTTATAATCTCTGTATCATCAGCTTTCTCCTGTGGCTGACATTTTGCAGCACAAAAGAAGGAACAGGGTCACCAAACCTCTGCAAAGTGGTTCATTGGTGGGAAGTTACTGTGTCACTGATTTATCTTCCTCGCTCTCTTTCAGCCGGTTGCTGTACATCCTGTGAAGCCTTATGTAAAGAGAGGATCGCTCCTAAGTGGTATCGATTCCAATAGCAGGTTCAGTGTGGTCAGGGCGTCCACAAGAAGGTTGCTCAACATGTGGAACAGCAGAGGGGAAAGGAGACGACTAGTTTGGGCTGTTTCTATAGAAATCTGGATAGGTTCGGTTTTTGATGGCCAAGGACATTGGAGTTTTCCTGGTCACGCAGTTGTTTAAAGAGTTCCGGGCGCGAAGGGCGCTATATACATGCAAGTTGTTGTTTTGGTTGACTAACACACGCAGAAACCTGCTGTGCTGTGCTGAAGAGTATCCAAACCGGGGGATTGGGACATACATGAAAAAGGGAGATACGGTATTTGAAAATGAGACCGGAAGGTGCGAAGTTAATGGTATTTTCCAGCTCTGCACATTCCTATGTTGCACATTCCTATCAACATGCGAGAACGAGATGCTGCCCTGCAGGAAGAGCGCTATGTAAATGCAAGCTCTTGTTGCTGTTGATGTGGAAATGGAAAAGCTGTAACTTTCGCCTACAAAACACTCAGTCACTAAACCTTACAGTGTATCCTGTGAAGCGCTTTGAGACATCCTCCCAACATGAAAGGCGCTGCATCATATGCAAGGATTGTTATTATTATTATCATTATTATTATTATTATTATTATTATCATTATTATTATTATTATTATTATTATTATAATTATCAATCCCATAAATAATTTAGAATTTGAAGTCATTACCCAATTCTAGAAGTTAAACTTTTTCAGTTCACTCCCCTTTGATCTACAGTAGGTTTCAGTTTTGCTGATAATGAAATGGTTTCAGACAGAATTTGCAGCCAGAATTTTTTCTCCGACGAAAAGTGCTGAATAAAGTGGAATTTTTTTTTTTTTTTTGGCTGGAAATTTTTTTTTTCCCCCCTTTAAACTTTGGGGTGAAGAAATCCTATGCTTGTCACCGGGTTTGACCTTCTTTCTGCTGCAGCAAAGCAGTTTCAATGCAAACTCCTGATTGTTGCCCGTTTGCTGTGCCCTGACAGTAAAATCATACAAGTGGAATCGTAAGCCTCAGTAACACTTCAGCATTTGTCAGCCTGGTGCAGTGCTAGAGCTCTCGCCTCTGAGTCAATGCAGTGTTGGGGGTGGCGTGTTGCATTGTCGGAGGTGCCCTTTGGATGAACAACAACAACAACAACAAACTCCTGATTCCATTTATAGAGCGCCTTTCACGTCGGGAGGACGTCCCAAGGCGCTGGACAGTTGGGTCAGGACCCGAGCAGTGCGGGAAATGGTCAGAGTGAGGGGAGGGAAGGGAGGGAGCGAGGAGGGGGTAGAGAGTCGAGAGGGGAGCTGAAGGCACGGTCAAAGAGAAAGGTCTTGAGACCGGCCTTGAAGGAGGAAAGGGAGGAGGCGGCGAAGGCACTGGGGGATAGAGTTCCAGAGCCTCGGGGCTGAGAGGCTGAAGGCCCGGCCACCGATGGTAGGGCGGTTGGGGCGGGGGATGTGGAGCAGACCGGAGCCAGAGGAACGGAGGGTACGGGCAGGTAAGTAGGGGGATAGTAGGTCAGGGAGGTAGGAGGGAGCGAGGCCATGAATGGCCTTGTAGGTGAGGATGAGGATCTTGAAACGTTAAACCGAAGTCCCGTCCGCATGTTCAGGCGGACGTTAAAGATCCCGTGGTCCTATTCGAAAAGAGAAGCGAGTTTCTCTCTCCCAGTGTCCTAGCCAATAATCCACCCAAATAAGTTAGTCATTCACTCCGTGGCTATTTGCAAGGCATTGCTGTGAATAATTGGCTGCAGTCGTTTCGCCCACAAAGTACACAGTCACTCCATTTTACAGAATAATCCTGTGAAGAGCTTCGAGAAGACTCGAGGACATGATATGGCACAGTACCAAATGCAAGAATTATTATTTATTATTTCCAATAATTTCCTTGCAAACACTACATGGGGAGAGATTCCACTGGGCCTACTCTATAAAGTACCATTTTAGAGTGTCCAGGATTTGGCAACGTGTTGAATTCAGTCTCAACTTTCATTAAAGAGACCAACTTCAAAATCAAGGCTGCGTTTAAGAATTTGCCAAATTCTGTTGGCTCTGAAACAGAGCAAATCTAATCCCTGGTGAAATTTCTCCCCCAAATGCCTAACATAGGGCTTGCGACTGAGGAGGGAAATTTGGGGCAAAATCTCCTGACCTAGGAATGAATAGTCAGAGCCTTCACTTAGTTGCTTAGAAGTGAGTTTCTGTGACATTATTGATGTTCTGCTACGAAATGGCTGCAATGCCACACTGAGATCCATAGCTGAAACAATCCGAGCTGAACTGACTTGCCTTCTCAACCGTAGAAGTGATTGCATCAGGTGAACCACAGTTAAGCGATAATTTAAAATAACGAGATACTGTAGTGGCCATTACAAAAAGTCATTTTTTGTTAACAAAAAAGATGAACCATGGTAACTAGCGTTTTGCTCATTACATCTTTCAGCACATACTTTGAAAGTGCAGAGAAAAGAAGGCTATGGGAGAGTTGGCGAGGAGGGACAGAAGCTTGCGTGGAGTATAAATGTGGATTCATTGATTCCTGCTTCTGTGCTGCAATGGTCTATTTTAATTCTATTTAGCCTTAAAATGTCTAATCATCTGCTTTTAGCTAATAGGAGGTTAACAGAACTGTGTTAAAGTGGCAATTGTGCTGGCAAAGAATGCAGCGCTCTCCTCTGAAAAGCAAGCAGCTGTTTCATGGTATATCAGGCTGGATATGAATAACCTTTAGCACGCCAAAGTCAGCAATTGCCCGATTGCCCAGGAGATCTATATGTTGATCAGATTAAAGCCAAAGGTTCAAGGTGTGTTGGACTGTTAAACATTCACAGTCACGAAGGACTTTGGCATAACCTGTTCTCAGCATCGCACTGGCTTTGCTCCAATCGAGTCCTGTTTCATACTCTGTGGCTTTCCATTACCACTGAGCATGTTTGTTCCAACCTGGGGAACTCCAGGATTGACCAGGAGCTCTGCTGGTGGTAGAACCAAAGTTCCCTGCGCAGCTTTACTTTCAGCTGTTAGGTGGTCCAATGCTATAACTTAGTGGTCCAATGCTGTAACTTTATTTCCCCCCTTGGTCCATTGGCTACAACGCCTTATCAAATCATTGAGACGTCTCAAAGCGCTTCACAGAATATATTGTAAACTGGATTGACTGTGTATTTTGTGGGCGAAACACGGCAGCCAATTGCGCAAAGCAGTGTCCCCACAAACAGGGATTATTACCCACGGAAAGCCATCCGGCAATCGACTAACAACCGGGTTGCTGCTTACTGCCAGGTAAACAGAAGTGTGTGCTTGTGTGTTAGGAAACTTGCCTAACTTTTTGCCCTGCCTGGGAATCAAACCCTGGTCCTCTCGCTTGCAAGATGAGGGTGCTAAACACTATTCTACGAGACTCCTTTATGGGACAGTGTGGCCATACAATGGCTGGGTGTTGACCTCTACCAAAAAGCTATCTCGGTCACTCCCTGCCTATTATAAGCACACGTTTCCCAAGTTCTCTAAATATATAGGTGCAAGGAACATCACCCCGCTGAAGGTGACGGCTTGTGTTCCACTGTAAGTGGCTGAAATATATCAGTTTCAACACAGCGGCGAGTTGCACAAGTTCGCACTGTGACAAAACTGAGGCACATCTGGCTGAGCATCATTTAGGGTCAGCCAATCGTTTGACAAATAAGCGTGCAAGAGAACACGATCTGCTCCGTAAGCTAATTTTAGAGAAGAGTGGCACATTTAAGTTCTGCCTCACCGCTAAGCTTTTCCTCAAGTGACCCTTTCAAGGAAATTTCCTTCATTTGTCACAGGCAGCGAGACTTTACACCGAGGTCCCTGACAGGCTGCCTGTCCTTTGAGTCGGAGTTAAAGGTCTATTCAAAAGGAGAAAGGGAGTTTCTCCCAGTAGTCCTGGCCAAAAAAGACCTCCAAGTTAATTGCTTGTTCAGCTCAGGGTTGTTTGAGGGTAAATGGCTGCTGCCTTTTGTCTAAAAAAACGGTCCTTACACTTGGCAACAATTACTGGGAAGCATTTTGAGTTGCTTCAACTTGAATAGACATCTTTAAAAATGCAAGCTAAATTGCTTCCACGAGCACGTATTTTTTTTTGTCATTATTCCTTCAAATACGATCAGAATACATGGATATAATTAACCAGAAGGTTCCTGTAATTGAAAGCATCAAACCAAATGGCTGCCGCGTTTCGCCCACAAAATAGACAATCAATCCACTTTACAGTATATTCTGTGAAGCGCTTTGAGCCGTCTCAACAGCCGTGATAAGGCACTATATCAAATGCAAGGATCATTATTATTAATACTGTAGATTCAATTCAAATCCATGTTGCTGTGGTCCTAAAAGGGTTAAGCTGGAGCATACGCCAGAATATAAAACATGCCTTTCAGGTAAATCACTAAGACTCACCTCTACGCTGATTAAACAGGAAGCCACACCCAAGGTCCTGTCTACTGTTAGTAATCGCTCAGTTGAGAACCCCGAACAGTGAGAAACTAGACAAGACAGTAACTGACTAATCAGCATGACTGGACTGGACTAAGGGTACGGTACGTTCCACAACCATTGCCTGGCCTTTGTCTTCAACCCTCAGAACAGTGGCACCCAGGATGCCACAACAACAACAACTTGCATTATGTAGTGCCTGTAGCACTCTATCGTACGTGCCCTGTATTTAGATCAACGAGGTGCTGATCAATGATGGTGCTCAAGACCAACTGCTAGACAAGAGATTGGGCATTGCTGTAATAACAGGACTGACCTGTCCGTAGATGAAGGTTGGGCTGCAGTATTTTTGTGAACCGTGTAGACCACATGTCGATGAAGCACGGAGTTGACTGGCTCTTCCCAACAGCAGCTCGACTGACGGAGGGTAACAGGCTGCCCGAGAACAGTCTCCCTGCACAGCCACGCAACTGGCAGCCGCTGAAAGCAAAAAGGATGGAAAAGTAAACGGAGATCCAAAAGGAGAACTAACCGTGAAATAATGGACCGTGTTTAACTGGGATAATAATACCCACGTCTCTTGTTTACACTCCACCCACCCGAGCCTTCACCCCCTCCTATTCCCCTCATAATTTGTAAGCGAACGGACAAAATTAAAATGTTTTAAATCAATCGGCTGCCGTGTTTCGCCCACAAAATATACAGTCGATTCACTTTACAGTACATAATAATATAATAATAAGATAACAATAATAATCCTTGCATTTGATATAGCGCTTTTCACATTTTCTAGACGTCTCAAAGCGCTTTACAGAATATGCTGTGAAGTGAATTGACCGTATATTTGTGGGCGAACGCGGCAGCCAATTGTGCACAGCAATGTCCCACAAACAGTCGTGGATTGAAAATGATCAATTTATTATTGTTTTGTTTTGGAGGGATTTTTATTAGGTGTGTGGAGTAAGGAAACTTGCCCAAGGTTTCGCCCTCTGCCTGGAATTGAACCCAGGTGTCTCGCTTGCGAGGCGAGTGCTCTAACCACTGAGCTACAGGACTCCATATCCTGTGAAGCGCCTTGAGACATCTCAACGACGTGACAAGGTGTGATGTCGAATGCAAGGATCATTATTATTGTTAGAAATAATAATGATAATAAAGTCACTGGTCTTAAAGCTAAGATCAGGAGAATTTTTTGGCTCCAAGAGGTTTACATTTTGTAGGAACTGACGACAGGCAAGTTGGTTTCCAGCACATCTGTGCTAATGGGCACAGCTCTAGCGTTCTGACATTGCCTTGTAAGGATGAGGCGCTAAGGAAAATGTAAGGGTTGTGGTCATGGAATAAACACAGTGTCTGCCCGATCAACGCAGGAATCAGACACTGCAGCAGTTTCCTCACGCGTTCAATTTGGGAATTAAAAAAAAGGGGCAATCACACAGCCCATCAACACAAGTACATTTGGGACGGTCTCCCGACGTGAAAGGCGCTATCCAAATGTAATTTTGTATTTCGAGGACCACCCAACCAGCAGTGATATGCTTCAGCTGATGGCTCGTTGATGGAACAGATTGGCTACTCAGCTATCAGCATTGCCTTTGTTACTGCAGACTTAACTGGATTTGTCAGACATGTTACCTTGGAGTCCGTTCAACTCCAGCTTTTCCCTTCCCCACCCTAAAAAATATCATACAACACACTCACTGTGTTACCCTCGATACACTGAATAAACCCACCCAAGATCTGAAATTTCCTCTAGTCTTAATTGTAAGATCGTTTTGTCCTAAATTTTTACTACACTCTTTATTGTCCAAATTGACTTTCATTTTTCAATTCTGTGCTTGTTATATATATATTTTTAAAATAAGGCAAAACTCACCCAGACTCAGGAGCAATAGAAACATCTATCCTTTGGAAGTGAATTGCTTATAAATGGAAAATCTGTAGGAAATGAAAGACTTAGTTTAATAACTTCAATGATTTTCTGTCACCCATTGAAGCCAACTTTGTTGACTCTGTAAAAATCAGTTCAGTTTCTTATTGGCAACGATTACAGTTTTAATCGCACTAGAAATTGAAATCGATCGCAAATCAACAACAACAACAACAACTTGGATTTATATAGTGCCCTCCACGCCGGGGAGAGGCAAAAGAGACAAAAACATTTCCTCACACTTTCGATCATCTAATCCAAGCATACGTTCACCTTTTTTGTGTAAACGTTTAACAATTTTATCATTGCCCCGTAACTCAGCAAACTGCCAAAAACCCCGGTACAATTTTATACTTTAGTGATTTCGTTCTTAAAGCAAAGCTCCTGTTAAGTTCACAAATGCATCAGACATTCTCTCCCGCTCATTCTGCGAGCGTTAACCAGAGCGGTTGCCAATAATAATAACAGTCCAAGTGGAACTTGTTCTCTTGATGGCTGCTCTTACCTGTGTCAGCGCTGTGTCTGACTCCAGGTTACGGATTTTCCCTTTTAACTGCCAACCTCACCTGGGAGTGTTTTGCCTTGAATGAGTCCGCAGGTGACAACACAATGTCTCAGAAATAAACACTCCTCCCACCCACACAACACCCGTTTGTATCATTCCCCTTGGGATGCGACTTACGTTAATGTATTACAAAACTTTTAGTGCTCTGAAATACCCTTTGGTCCTCTTTTACAATACTTTGCTGAACGAGTTATGAAATGTACAGAATGTAGAATACAAGACTTCGACAATTTTGTTTCGAGTAGTCTTTATTTCAAAGTTTCTCTTATTGATTGGCAAACAAATCATGAACACCCTTCCTTAAAAGTCAACTTTCCTTTTAAATACAGTGAAATTGGCTTCTGCTCCTTATTCAATCGTGTCAGAACAGGATTAGAATAATAATTTTTAAAAAAACTTTCCATCTTTGTTTCTGGCCAATTTTGGTTTGCTCAAAACTTTGTATTAATCATTTTTTAAAAAATTATTTTCCTTCTCTGTGTAAAGTTTACTGTCGAGATGATTTCAGTGTGTTTGGGTTCTGTTGTTGACTATTTCTATGGCTATGATTCGCCGTGAGTTGGCTGCAGAACTTGTCCAGACAGCGTCCCAGGAAGTGTTAGTGTCTAATAATTCTTTACTCATGAAAACAAGCCACCGCCCTGTTATTAGGGCTAATCTGAACCACTTTTACAAACGTTACAACTTGTTTGGGGAAGGTTCCTGCGAAGATACGAGAACGTAATTGGAAATATTCTCCAGGAAAAACTCTGTGTCGGGTCACAGCAAATCAGCTGATGCTGGGTAACTACAGTGAGTGGGAACTTTCAGCTGGTTATTTACAATCTACTTCATGGAACTTAGTTGATGCCCACTAATTACTGCTGTACCCTTTGAAACGAGCATTATTATGATGGGACTACACAACCAAAAAAGCTCTTTCCCACTCTTGTGCAACTCATTCCGCATCTACAGCCCTTGAAATTGATCTTCGGGATCTTCTTTGATCTTCACCCGGGACATTTACTTGAGTAGGTGATGGAAAACCAAACAATTCAAGGACACGACCTAAACAGAGACCACCCTCATCTCTGTACGATCCATCTCCTGCTCCTATTAACCAACATTCATGAGAACATAAGAATATAAGAATTAGGAGCAGGAGTAGGCCATTCGGCCCTTCGTGCCTGCTCCGCCATTCAATAAGATCATGGCTGATCTTCTCACCTAACTCTAATTACCTGCCCTATCCCCATATCCCTAATCCCTCTATTTTTCAAGAATCTATCAGTCTCAGCCTTGAAAATGTTCAAGGAATGTATCAGAACCTTGGAGCGTGTGAGTAATTTGTCATCTGAGCCGTTCACCCAGGCAACCAAGATGACTAAGTGTCTACGAATGAGGAGCCACACAAGGTGGTTATTCATTTGTTGTTCGAGCATGTTGTTCACTGGGAAGAATGGCTGGTGAGATATTGTAGCAAATGGAGGAATAGTGATTTACGGTTACAGTGGCCTACACGGCCTAATCCTGCTCCTGTGTTCACAGGATACACAGTAAAATGGTGTTGACTGTGTGTTTTGCCCGTACGATACACAGTCAATTTACTTTAATAATAATAATAATCCTTGCATTTGATATGGTGCCTCATCACTTCGTCGAGACGTCTCAATGTCTCACAATATCAGAATATACTGTAAAGCGAATTGACTCTGTATTTTGTGGGAGAAAAGCGGCAGCCAATTGCACACGGCAGTGTCCCACAAACAGTCGTGGATTGAGTGACCAATTTTTTTTTGAGGGGTTATTACCCCCGGAAAGCGATCGGCCAATCGACTAACAACCCGGTTACTTCTTACTGTTAGGTAAGCAGAGGTATGTGGAGTAAGGAAACGGCTTCACCCCATATCAGTCTTGGGTGCCCCCTCTCCTCTCCCTGCACATTATATTATTATTTGAGGATAAGGATTTGAGGATATTGTTTTGCGGTGAGGATAATAACGTGTGAATTTCGTCCTCAAAATGCACAGTCACTACATTTTACAGTGTACTCTGCGAAACGCTAAGAAACCGTCTCGAAGACGTGATAAAGAGCTGTATCAAATGCAAGGATTGTTATTTTGAGGTGTCGTCGCGCTGTTTTGAAGAGAGTTCCAGAGGTTTGCAATAGTACATTTCAAACAAAAGAGGGCGCTCAAGAAACTTAATAATTCCAGCCATTTAATAAGATGGAGTTCCCGATAGCTCTCGTGTTTGGTAATAGCTCCTGTTTTACGTCTCAAAGTTACTGCAAAGTGTCGTGAGCGCGTGTTCGTGGGCGAACGCAGCCGCCATTTTACACGCGGCAACGTTCGACAAACGTGGAGACGGATTGTGTCATCACCTTCCCATCCAGGTTCAGAAATGGTTCTGGACAGCGATGATGAGTAGGAACCATTGACTGATTTCCCCCCTTAATCCAAGGCACTACTGCCTTGTGAGAGGTGAACACATTTAAATCTGAGGCTTCTGGTCTGGATGGTCGACAGCTGTGGGATTTGGTGCCTGTTCCCTCTGAAGCGATTGGGGTAATGTCCAGTTTGCTTCTCAACAGCCAAAGACAACCAACTGGGGGAAACGTCCCCCGAGGGAGATTATTATAAAACGGGTGCGGTGGGAAGTGAAGATAAATAATAATAATAATCCTTGCATTTGATCTAGCTAGCGTCTTATCACGTCGTCGTCGAGATGTCTCAGCCGTGACCTAATAGAATGGCGGAACAGACTCGGGAGGCTGAATGGCCTCATCCTGTTCCTATGTTCACAGGATACACTGTAAAATGGTGTTGACCGTGCGTTTTGCCCACACAGTACACAGTCAATCTACTTTACAATATATTCTGTGAAGCGCTTTGAGACGTCTCAATGACATGATAAGGCGCCATATCAAACGCAAGGATTATTATTATTATTTTATGGGCTTTGTGAATTTTCATCCAAATCAGACGGCACATCCTTCTACTTCTTTTGTGGTTGGGGTTAGAAGACTCAGCACTAGACCTTGAAGTGAGAATGAATGAGTCACCAGTCACATGAAATGACAGAGGAGAATAATGCAAAAGTCGGTGAGTAAGTGCTGGCACAAGAATTATTATTATTATTAATATTTTGTGGACGAGATGCAACTAAACTGGAGCAATGTGACTTCTGAACTGGGGGGGGGTGGGCAAAGCAGCGTGGGGTTTACATTGTGTGTGCCTTTTCGTGAAATACCTGACTTGGTACCGCTTGACCCTGATGTCGGAGTTAAAGGGACTTTTAAATACAGATCCTAGGACTGCCATCTCTCACCCTGGTAAACACACAAATTCACTGGGAGTCAAGAAAAAAAAATTGTTGACTGTTTTTCTCAGCACAGTTGAGGGCCAAAGTTCGGGCTTATTTTCAGAAGTAGGGAAAAAATAAATAAAAAATGCATATTGACTGATTATTAATGGTTCAGCATTTGTCCTTCGTGGGTTTATCTATCCTATGTTGATTGACCCTTAACCTAACTCTGGGGTTATAGGAAACGTGTGGACTTCTGCTTCCTTTCAATTCCTTAATTTCTCATTGCACCATAAACAACAAGGTTTGTTTGGCCATGATAACCAGCGGGTTTGGATGCCAGCTTGGCTCAAGTTGGTAGCGCTGTCATTTCTCTAAGTAGGAAGCTTGTGGGTTCAAGCCCCATGTCGGTCACTCACTGTTTGTGGGACACTGCTGTGCGCAATTGGCTGCCACATCTCACCCACAAAGCACACAGTCAAACATGGCCTTACGTTCTATCCTGTGAAGCCCTTTGAGACGTCTCAATGACATGATAAGGCGCTACATCAAATGCGAGGATTATGGTTATTATTAAGGTTGTGGTTCAAGATCCAGTTCGGGACTTTAGATGCACATAGTCTGGAGAGATGGAACCTTGGTTTAGCATTTCACCCAGAGGATGGCAGCTTTAACAGTGCAGCATTCCCCCAGCGCTGCATTGACTCTGAGCACAAAGTCCCAACGAAGGACTTGAACGCACAACTTCTGACGCAGCGGAAAAGTGCTACCGACTGAGACTATTTGTTTTTGATGATTCACTAATGAGACATTAAACCGAGGTCTCGTCTGCCTGTTCGGGTGGACGTTAAAGATCCTGCGGGGCTATTCGAAAAGAGAAGGGAGTTTTCTCTCCCGGTGTCCCTGGCCAACAATCCCCCAAATAAAATCGGTCACTCACTCCAAGGCTGGTTGCTAGTCCTTGCTGTGCGCAAAATGGCTGCCGTGTTTCACCCACAAATTACACAGTCAATCCACTTTACAGAATGACCTGTGAAGTGTAGGACTACTATTATTATTATTATTATTATTATTATGATTTATAGGTTCATTTCCGACCGGCAATTGAGTTAATTGACACTGGCTGTGTGCATTGGCTCTTCGCTAACTGTGCACAGAGCTCTCCACAGCCCTGAACCGATGCAAGTTCCAAAGTGAAGTATTAACAATAACAAGTCACTTCAACAGTGTAAACTGGGAGCTGACACTCCTTGTTCCAGCAGACAGGCGACAAGACCTGTTTACACTTGAAGGACTGAAAGAAAGCAGCCTTACAGATTGGTTTGCTGGCAGGCAGCCTCCAGTAGGGAATCTCTACATCTCTGACCTGATTTTTATGCTGCAACCATTCCATACAAAACTCCCAGTTATAAGGTGAACCATAATAACTCCTTTGTACACCAACAGGCTTTTTGCTAACTCTCTGGTTGGTGTTTTTATTCAACGGTCAGTGCGTTCAAACAGTGTAATCTGCCAGTAATCTCAGAGAAACAAAATGCAATTGAATACCGTAATGCGGTTTCGAGAGGCGAACGTGCTTATGTCCAAATCAATGTAGGAACCATCTGTCCATCGGTCGGGAATGTGAGTCATTTCACTCACATCTGATACCCCATATCGAATAACAGTTCATGTGTTTCTGAATTGGGTCAAAGGTAACCCATTCGCTTTGCATCTTGTA